AACTGCCAGAAACCTTTAAAAACTCCTCCTCCGGTGACAGAGTGGAGGAGAAACAAGCTGCTGCAGGTTTAGAGGCAGCAAGGAGAAAGGCTGCTGCTGGGTGGTTGGGTGCTCTCCCCTTCCTACAGAGGAAGCTATCAGTAATAGATTTAGGGGGGAAAGGGCACCCTCAGGGTCAATAACACGACCACCCACCCTCAGAGCGAGTGTGGGAAAAGGTATTTCCCTCTGCTTTGTGTTGGCATTGGTTTATTTTTGTTTTGTGGAGGGGTAACGCTTTCAATTTTCCCCACAGCTTGCCTGGAAAATACTGGGAAATAACACCCCAAGTGGGAGAATAAACACCCCAAGTGGGAGAGAAGTCAGAGTGGGTCTGACTTCTTCCCCCCACCGCCAGAGGAAGAAGCACTGAGCCGGAGGAGGTGTCTTGTCACAGTAATGCAATAATGAAGTAAGTCTCTCTCTACAGTCCAGAGTGTGATCAGTCCTAGAACAGAACATTCTGGTACCTCATTACCAGAACAACATTGACTAACAGGGGGATGTTCAGAGAAGAAAGATTACTGGAAGGAGTGACTTCAAAGAGAAGTATTAATAGCTTACGTAAGTGATGACAGTATGGTAACAGTCTAGAAATATTTGAATGTTTCCTGGAGAGAGAGGAGTAATTTATGCAGATACACTGAAATATAACTAGGGATAGGGGGGGCTATATTAAAATTAAAAAGGAAATATAGGTTGATAGAGGTCAAACTTGCAAGCGGTGTGTGGGATGGCTTAGAAGGAGCAGGTGGAAGCATGGTGACTTTGGATGTTTCCAAATTGTATTGGACAATGTGGCAATACAAAGAACAATAGTTTGTGTGGCAGGGAAATAGATGATGTATTGTTTCTTTTCTCACATTTGTGGGAGACGTAGCAAGAAATGCTCTTTCTTTCAGAGCTCTATTCTGCAAGGTGCAGAACACTGGCCTCAGTTTAGACAAGCACTTAAGAATGTGCTTAATTTTGAACATAAGCAATCCTACATATGATTAAATGCTCAACTGGTTTGGGGCCAGAATACTCAATATGTTACAGGAATCGAGCCCTTAACCCCACTGGAAGGGTATGGTTACTGAAGTTGCTCACCTTGAACTCAAGTTCCAGCTTTGAACTGCCCAGTGAATAGTGTTTCCCATCTGTGTGCCAGATAATTGCTAAAAGATGTACTGAACTCTGAAACATTTGTTTGCATAATCCTTTGTAGTGAAATAAAATGGTGCTCAGACACTCTGGTGATGAACACAGTAGAAATGCTTATAAACAACTATTTATTGATTTAATACTTTGTGAAGAGTTTTGCTTTAATCTTTCATGACTGTGTAGTGCCTCTTTTTTTGACAAGTTCAATATATTGTCAATAAAACATTCTCCATATAGGACATTTTAAAATAGTTGAATACAATAAAAGCCTTGAAAAGGGCAGGAGGGTGTGTACAGAGACCAGCACAATTCACAGCACTGCCTAATATATAAATAAAACCAAAAGATTTAATTACTTGAGCAAGTATTAATCTTTAAAAAGGTTAAAGAGATTTCATCTTAATTTCCAGTTTGAATTCTCTTTCCTTTCCTGTTGGACTCCAAAGCATGAAGCTGGATTCTGATACCATGACTTCTATAGTATTGTGCTACTCAGTATAATCATTTAAGCTAATGCAAATCCCCAGTGTTCTGATTTGGAAAAATTTTGCACCTACTTTCCAGTGATGCAAAGGACCACACACAGTGCCCTGTTGACAATCTGCCCAATATGAGCAGGGAGTCATAATCTGGTTCTTACATACAATTCATGGTTTTATATTTAGGAATGGCAGGAATCTTTGTTTTACAAATGGTAGAAAGACTAAGCTGGGAACAGCTATAATGCTTTCAGAGTTCTGCAAAGAAAAAATGTAGTATTCAGTAGACCATGTAGAAGTGTGTGCAGGGAAATTCACACCTAAAATGAAACTGGTGAAATTTGTATTTTCACAGTATATGTGGTCCAAAACTTGCACTGTTCACATAAGTTAGTGCTGTGACTTGTCAGCAATTTTGGTTTTTCTTTTAAACTAACGCTTCTTTTGGTTTTGGTAAACGGATGCAGTGACAAAGCTGAAAGTCATAGATTAATCTTTTAGGGTCGCTTGACTTTACACGGATCTTTCTCTACGCATTCATTTGGATGGCTGTCCAGAGAGTATGTATGTTTTGAATTTCAAGCTAATCAAAAGGATATCATTATTAACAGTGCCCTCTTGTTGTCAGATCCTGCAAAGAGAAGCAAAGAAAAATATGCAAACACATTTTTTTTAAAGAGCTATATTTAGGTAGAAATTTACTAATATTTGAGAGAGGCTGTCTGTCTGTCCAAGAACTCCTCCTAAATGGTAAAAGCTAGGACAACCAAATTTGGTATACAGCTTCCTCTTATCATAACTTAAAGCAAGGTTAGGAGTTGGTTGTGCCAGGAAAATGGGATGTGCCTGGAATGGGAATGCTTCTCATAAAACCACACAGAAAAGACAGAATCACCAGGCAGGAGAAAGGGGCTGACTGTGGCCCCCATCTGGGACTGCCTGAGCCCCCAAGCCTCTCATCCCCCTTTACGAAGCTCCTCTCCCTCTCCCCATTCATACAGGGACATTGCTGGCTATTCCTGGTTGTGAGGGAGTGAGAAGAATGTGCACAGTTTTCTGCATTCCTCACTCTGGCTGGGGAGCTCAGGCTATGTCTACACTGCAGACAAAAATTTGAAAAAGATAACGCAAATTGGAAACCACAATTTGCATATCTTTTTCCACTTTTTCCCCTGAAAGAGGCCTTTCCGAAATTTGGCTCATCTACATGGGGCCAAATTTCAGAAAAAAACCTCCTCTTTTGGAACATCCCTTATTCCTCTCACAGAGGAATACAGGGATGCTGAAAAAACACGTTCACTTTTTTGGAAACTGTTCTGAAAAAAGCAGATGCGTTCCTTGGACGCGGCAGAGCTTTTCTAGGATAGCTCTCATGAACAAAAATTAATTGAGTTAAGGATCTGAGCAATGCTGGGTAAATCTTCTAGCTAACTATATTTCCTCTAGATTTTCCTTGAGGCTCTGTAGTTTGTCCTGGAAAATATTATTGAGCAAGTGATTACAGAAAATTAACTCTTAAAAAGCTCTTTGGAACACACTGATAGTTTGAGAGAGAAGAAATTATGAAGCAAAGGGTTTCCAGTATAAGGGAAGAAAGAGAGTCACATGGGATTAAGTAAAGAACAAAAACTACTCTTAAAGCTTTCCTCTTACTGGAAAATACAGTGACAATAGCTTTGCCTTTGTGTCACTGCTCAGAGAAAGGAAAATATTAGGTGGAAGGGAATGTTTGAGCAAAATCCTTCCAGCCATTCTTACATTCTAATTTGGAGAGATAAATAATAGTCTTTATTAACCTATGCTTTATTAACCTATCCCACATATTTTTTAAAGAAAGAGACTGTTCACCATAGCCTACTATATCCTTGAATGCTCTTTTTGGTTTTTAAACAGAATTTTGTGTTGGGTTAAGAGTTGTCCACTTAAGTTGCTGTAATGCATTTCATAGTCAGCTTGAACTTGGGGAATACACAATTTTCAAAAGTTGTTTAAGAAGTAGAGAAGGCTGGAGTTTCCCTAATTGTTGTTTCTTAACCTGTCCTTTCCCATCTTGCTGTCAATGTGCCAGACTCTTTGCTGTTTAATTTTTTTTTTTTAAGTTTAAAAAACAGAAGTGTCTTTAAAGTGATTTAAGCAGCTCCAGTTGATGTTTAGCTTTTGGACTGTAAGGTATAGACTGTATTTGTACAGTATCTACCATAATAGGGTTTTAGTCCATGGCATTACCACGCTACAAATATAATCCTAACAAGGGGCATAATCCTCCACCCACAGAAGTCAAGGGAAAGTCTCTCTTGGGAGCAGAACCCATAGATTTGGTGAAGCTTCTGCAGAGACTTTAAAATAACAAGCTTAGCATAGACCATCCCCCAAAACTGTGGTGCTAGGGGGAAGAGTGGAAGGTAGGAGCCAAAGGGGGGGAGGGGCAGGACAGTCCTGAGCCATACAGCTGCTCCTGCAGGGCAGACTGGGGGAAGGTAGTTTAAAGATTGCGTTAATAAACACAAGCACCCAAGGGTGCTGAAACAATGGGGGAGGGGAGAGCCACTGAGCCAGAGCACAAATTATGCATGAGGCAAAGCACTGCAAAGCAAGGGGCACAGCCAGGGCTGGCCTTACCATGAGGTGAACTGATGCCAGGCTGGGGGGGGGAGGAGGGGAAGGGGCACCACTAGGACCCAGAGAATTGAGACCTTTCAAAGTTTTGGCCCAAGCGAGGGGGTATGGGGGTGTCATGTGAGCTCCACACCTCAGGTGCCAGAATGTTGTGGACAGGCCGTGCCTTAACTAATGACTTTGTTTTTAGTGTGATTCTTGTAAGGCTGTACCACCAGCCAGGCTGTCTCCCTGAAGCTCCTCTCTGAGGTTACGTCTACACTACAGGCTTCTTGCTCAAGAGCATGTCCACACTACAAAACTGCATCACAAATGCAATGCACTTTTGCACAAAAGAGCGTCCAGATGGCATGGATGCTCTCTCGCAAGAAAACACTGATTGCCTTTAACAGAACGGCCACCAGGGCACCTGTGCATCTTTCAATAGGCTGTTTTTGTGCAAGAAAACCCTGTTTCCTGTCCACACACACCTTTTAGTGCAAAAATGAGTTATTCCTTGTAGAAAGAGGAATACCTATAAGGTGCGTCTAGACTGGCCGCGAGAATTTGCACAAGAACACTGATGATCTAATGTAAGATTGTCAGTGTTGTTGCACAAGAACGCTGACGCTCCCGCTCGGAAAAAAGCCCTCTTGCAAGCCATGCAGGGAGGTGAGTGAGTGGTCCCCGAGCTGTGCGGGGGGGTTGCAGCCTCTTCCCTGGGCAAGGGGCCCCTCACTTAGGGGGTGGGGCTGTGCCCCCCCCTCCCCACCTGCACGCCGCTCGGTGCAACCATGCATGGGGGACTCCACGTCCTGGGTGTCTAGGGGGGCCTGGAGGGAGCAACACACCTACAGGCTGGGCGTTGAGGGTTCTGGGGGTGGGGGGAGGTCAGACTTTATGCCACCTCTCTGGTGTCCACGTTCCCTCTGATTCCTAGCTGAACAGGAAAAGCTGTGCCACCCCAGACACTGCCAGTGCTCGCCCTCAGCCGGCATCCTCCCTCGTGCAAGGACGTGTCATGTTGCCTCAGTCATGGAGCGGGAGCTGGCCTTCACTAGGAACCCTGTCCCGGTGACTGCAGCCACGTCCGTGAACCCAGGTAAGTCTAGTCAGTGACCAGAGAAGTGTCTTATCCACAGGAGTTAGAGGTGGAAAGGCCCAGCTGGATCAGCATCCCGTTTTCAAGGTAGCTGAGAAGGTTTAGTAAGGGATTGGTAGGGAAACAGTTGGTAACAAACTGCAGTTCATCTGCATACACACCTTTACTCTTAGAAAGTGCTCACAAACATTTTTGGGATAGTGGACCACAGGTTGAAATGCCTGATCTCATTACAGCTTTTGCTTGACAGTGTGGAATATTAAGTACTGATGCTAAACCCACACTGAATGCTATTACAAGTGATTCAATAGCTCACTTCTATTAAAAAGGTAGGATCTCCTTCCTTAGTATGCATTATTTTAAATAAGTTTTTGCAAGCCGTTTATACATAGGAGACTAAGATACCACTAGTACTTAATGGGCTCAGTCCTGGTCCACTTGAAGCCAACAGGAGCTGTGCTGTTGACTTCAGTAGGAGGATCAAGCCCAGAGTGATTATATTAAATATGCAAAATACTTTAACCATTATTATTTGTATTACCATCACACCTAGAACTGCAGGCACAAAAATCCCAGCATAGTAGTTAGTGTACAGTCAAAACAAAGAGACCGTCTAAGCCCCAAAGAGCCTTTGCATAACTATTGTTAAATAGAAAAATTAATAATCATTGGAATGGTTTCCAATGAAGTTGTCACTCAATTGACAGTGTAGACAAACTTTATAACAGCAGGCAGGCTTTGTCACAGGACCTAATGCCATTACCAGCTTCAGCCGCTCCAAGTCCCCAGCACTCGCCACCGAACCATTATACCCTGTAATGGGTTCTGCTGTCAGTAATCCAAATGAAATTATTAATGTAATATTTTGAATGAAAGCGCTACCTTCAAAACAGTTGGAGTTTTTTAAGACCATATAATTGTATTAAATAAGTTTGGGTATTTTTTAAAAAGTCATTTAAAGTATGTTTACCCAACAACAGAATGGCTAGGCAGTCATATAAACATTATATAGTTCCAGTCATTCTAACAGCTACATGCAGCTATGTTCAATCACACCTTTCTTTGCTCAATATTAAAGCCTGCCAATCTACAAAAAGCCAGGACATTCCATCAATGTTGCAACTCTGTGACTCCTAGTGATCTTATCTATACAATTTCTTCAGCAAAAGTGCAACTTCAATCATGCTACTATCAGCGTAAGCTCCATTATAGATTGGAAGCAGGTGGGTTTTTTTAAAGACCACCTACTTTGTTTGAGGATACAATAGTAAGCACTCCTATTTTTGGTGTCCATGTTAGTACCAGTGCTAGTGCTGAAACAAATATTTGATTTATTATACAGTCCCGTGTTGTCCATATGTTTTTATGATCCCAAAATAGTTTGTGATGTGTCATATGGCACATACACTAATGCATGCATACAAATGACTTCAATGCCACTGTAAAAAATGTTATACTGGAAAGACTTCTCAAGGTTTCTATATAATATGTATACAAAATATATGTAACTTGGTCAGTTCATTTTATAGTGCTTTCAGTGTCTAGAACTTAAGCAATAAGTAACTGACCAAAGAAGGGTATGATTAGAGGCTTTGATGGCACGTTGACTCAGGGTATGATTTTGCTGTCAGAAAGCGAACTGTCTGAAGGATGTTTACTGTTATGGGGCAATTTCAGTTTATTGGAAAACACACCATTTACTTGAAGCACATTAGTGCTGTGATTGCTCATCACTGTGGTAGCGGATTACTTACAGCAGTCACTGAAATCAAGAAAGTTTGTGCAGAAACTGAAGAATTTGATAGTGAGATTTAGGATTTCAGTTTGAGGGACTTATCATTACAGGTTTAAAAAGATACAGTCTGTATTGAGTATAATATTTTCAATACTTACATAACACTATGTATCAACTTTTCTCCCTCTTTCGTCCTTCGATACCTTTCAATAAAGGAAGAGTTCACATTTCCTCACCTCTCAAAAAAAATCTCTGAAAACAAACTTCATATTAACATAAAAATAAATTAGCAAAGACTGGTCTTTCCAGGACAGTGTCCCCCAAAATATCATAAAAAGGGATCAGGATTTACAGCATTTCTAACAGCACAAATACGTTTCATGATTTAATGCTTTACTTCAAACAGACATCTCAAGAGAAATGTTTGTGTTCACTATAACAGGTTTTAAGATTCACTCTACTGTAACATGCCTGATATGCCTTCACTCCTCCAATATGCACAGTGACATGCATAATTACAGGATAAAGATGATCAATTACTAATGCCAAACATTAAAATAGGGGAGAAATGGTCTTAATCTTTATTGAACTTGAAATATTTAAAAGGCACCTTCTGGGAATATTTCTGATCAAAGTTCAAATACTTCAACATGATCTATGGTTAAGTTGTGTTTAGTATGACCAGAACTAGTACAGGTTTGCAGTTGGACAGATATTAGTCATAATTATTTTTAAAAATAATCCTTTTGAAGTTTGATACTTAGATCTGTCTTTTTTTTTTTTTTTAAGTGTTTGATCCTACAGGGATTTTTTTTTAAGTGTAGAGTAGACTTTAACAGTTTGGAAGTCAATGTTTTTATCATACGTGCTGCTTTTCATTTTGGGGGGAGTGGGTGGATCAGAGAATTGCGGTATTGGTAACTTCTACAATTTTATTACAAATTTTGTATCATTTGGCATTTTCTGTACAGTTCCAGATCCTTGAGAGTCTCGGGTTTCTTTTAAAAAAAATTGTTTATGGCCCTCATGTTTGTTCAGAACAACCTAAAAAGGTGAATCCTAAAGCCTCAAAAACCAGACAGCAAATAAAAACCATACCACATTTATCTTTAATAAGTAAGTGTTTGTGCCAGGCTTGACTTATGATTTTCTTGGAGTCTGTGACATCATTTCCGAGGGGAATTCAGAGACTTTGACTTATAATTCATCCTTTGAATTTGGCATAAGTGAACTCATTGTCTCATTCTGGATTAGCATTTCCAGTAGTGGCTCTCAGGTTATGTCTAGACTGCAAGCCTCTTTCGAAAAAGAGCGTCTAGACTGCAAGCAGTACTTTCAAAAAAGCAAGCCGCTTTTTCAAAAGAAAGCAGCGAGTGAGTCTGGATGCTCTCTTTCTAAAAAGCCCTGTTGTCATTCAAGAACGCCTTTTTTCGAAAGAGCACTTTCGAAAAAAGGCATTCTTCCTCGCGAAATGAGGTTTACCGCCGTCGAAAGAAAAGCCGCGTTCTTTCGATTTAATTTCGAAAGAACGTGGCTGCAGTCTAGACGCAGGTGATGTTTTTTCGAAAAAAGGCTACTTTTTTCGAAAAAAACCCTGAGTCTGGACACAGCCTCAGTGGTGAGGCTGGACTATATTCTAACCCTGGAAGAGCTTGGAATACATTTGCTAGGAAGCTTTCACTGCCTCTGCCCATCTGCTCTATGTATGGAAGACTACATCCTTTCAATGAGCATCATTCACTTTAGGGCCAGATTTTGGGTCACCCAAGAAAAGTCAACACACACACTTTGGAAAGGGCACCAACAGGGATAGAATCTTCCTGGGACATGTAAGCAGTACTACTACAACCCAGAGTCAGTGGTGGAAGACACTGTGCCCCTTCAGAGCCCCTCCCCACTGTCTCATGGGCTTTCTAGCCAGTGGATCATGCGGTTTGCAGAACCACTTACTATTCTCTCTTTACTAGTCACCTAACTTGTTCACTAACTCCCTCTCCCCTGGGACTCCTACAGAGAAAGATGGCAGTTTAACTCTGTAGCACCCAGGGTTGCAAAATACCTTACCTGGCAGGTCTTCTTCCTTCTAGCAGTGCAGAGGTGGGGGACAGCCAATTGGTGCAGAGGCATGTGGATCGGACAAAGACTTCTCTTAGTGGAGAATTTATTGATAGAGATTCTCTAGGTTTTAGTCAGGAGGAGAGGATGAAAGAGGATAAAGCATGGGCCAAAGCAGACGAGAAACATTCACATACAAAAGAATCTGACATATCAGAAAAGGGCAGACAAATAAACAGTGACAAGTTTTTAAAGTGCTTGTACACAAATGCTAGAAGTCTAAATAATAAGATGTGTAAACTAGAATGCCTCATGTTAAAGGAGGATGTTGATATAATAGGCAACACAGAAACCTGGTGGAGTGAGGACAATCAATGGGACACAATCATACCGGGGTACAAAATACATAGGAAAAAGCCAAAAAGGAGTTTGATAAACAGCTAACCTAAAACTCAAAAGGTAATAAAATGTTTAAGTACATTGGAAGCAGGAAGCCTGCTAAACAACCAGTAGGGCCCCTGGATGTTCGAGATACAAAATAAGCACTTAAAGACAATAAAGTCATTGTGGAGAAACTAAATGAATTCTTCACAGCTGAGGATGTTAGGGAGATTCCCAAACCTGACCCGTCCTTTGTAGGTGACAAATCTGAGGAATGGTCACAGATTGAAGTGTCATTAGAGGAGGTTTTGGAATTAAATTGATAAACTTAACAGTAACAAGTCATCGGGACTAGATGGCATTCACCCAAGAGTTCTGAAAACTCAAATGTGAAATTGTGGAACTATTAACTATGGTTTGTAATCTATCCTTTAAAACAGCGTCTGTAGCCAATGAATGGAAAATAATGTAACGCCAGTATTTAAAAAGGGCTCTAGATTCTATCCCGGCAATTACAGACTGGTAAGTCTAATGTCAGTATAGGGCAAATTAGTTGAAACAACAGTAAAGAATAAAATTGTCAGACACACAGAACATAATTTGTTGGGCAAAAGTCAATATGGTTTCTGTAAAGGGAAACCATATTTTACTAATCTGTTAGAGTTCTTTGAAAGGATCAACAACATGTAGACAAGGGAGATCCAGTCGATATAGTGTACTTAGATTTCCAGAAAGCCTTTGACAAGGTCCTTCACCAAAGGCTCTTACGTAAATTAAGTTGTCATGGGATAAGAGGGAAGATCCTTTCATGGATTGAGAACTGGTTAAAAGACAGGAAACAAAGGGTAGGAATAATGGTACATTTTCAGAATAGAGAGGTGTAACTAGTGGTGTTCCCCAAGGGTCAGTTAAGACCAATCCTATTCAACTTATTCATAAATGATCTGGAGAAAGGGGTAAACAGCAAGGAGGCAAAGTTTGCTGATGATACTAAACTGTTCAAGATAGTTAAGAACAAAGCTAAGTGATTGGGTAACAAAATGGCAAATTAAATTTAATGTGGATAAATGTAAAGTAATGCACATTGGAAGAAATAACCCCAACTATACATATAATAAGATGGGGGCTAATTTAGCTACAACTAATCAGGAAAGAGATCTTGGAGTCATCGTGGATAGTTTTCTGAAGACATCCACTCAGTGTGCAGCGGCAAACAGGCTGTTAGGAATCATTAAAAAAAAGCAAACAGGATGTTAGGAATCATTGAAAAAAAGGGATAGAGAATAAGACGGAGAATATCTTATTGCCCTTATATAAATCTATGGTACGCCCACAACTTGAATACAGGCAGTCCCCGGGTTACACGGATCCGACTTACATCGGATCCCTACTTACAAACGGGGTGAGGCAACCCCGCACTTTTCTCAGCAGACACCTCATCTTGAGAATAAAGGACTGAGGGAAGTGAGGTGTGGGAGAATAAAACTGAGCTCTGGAGAAATGTTTGGCTAGAGTTTCCCCTACAATATGTACCAGTTCCAACTTACATACAAATTCAACTTAAGAACAAACCTACAGTCCCTATCTTGTACGTAACCCGGGGACTGCCTGTACTGTGTACAGATGTGGTCTCCTCATCTCAAAAAATATATACTGGCATTAGAAAAGGTTCAGAGAAGGGCAACTAAAATGATTAGGGGTTTGGAATGGGTCCCATATGAGGAGAGATTAAAGAGACTAGGACTTTTCAGCTTGGAAAAGAGAAGACTAAGGAAGGATATAATATATAAAATCATGAGTGGTGAGGAGAAAGTGAATAGGGAAAAGTTATTTATCTGTTCCCATAATATAAGAACTAAGGGCCACCAAATGAAACTAAAGAAATAAAAGGAAGTTCTTCTTCACACAGCGCATAGTCAATCTGTGGAACTCCTTGTCTGAGGAGGTTGTGAAGGCTAGGACTATAACAGGGTTTAAAAGAGAACTAGATAAATTCATTGAGGTTACGCTATTAGCCAGGATGGGTAAGGAACGATGTCCCTAGCCTCTGTTTGTCAGAGGGTGGAGATAGATGGCAGGAGAGAGAGATTGCTTAATCATTGCCTGTTCGGTTCACTCCCTCTGGGGCACCTGGCATTGGCCACTGTCGGCAGACAGGTGCTGGGCTGGATGGACCTTTGGTCTGACCCAGTATGGCTGTTCTTATGTTCTTAAGGACTAAAATAGGGCAGAACTCCAGGGACCTGGGGAATGTTACTCTTAAGATAAAAAAATAGATGACTATCCCTGACCAGAAATACAAAGTAGTGGAAGAAAGAGCAGGAGAGTATGAATCAAAGCCCTTGCTTTACACAGGGTCTAATCACAGTCTTTCCTTGTGGTTCCTAACCATAAACACTACAATGGCTAACACTTGCAGTAATGCTACTCTCTGCATAGCACTTTCAGACTGCAGGATGGGTAAAGAAGGGTGATGAGGAACAGAAGCATTTACTATGTCCTTTTAAAGTGCTGTAGAATGAAGCACACTTAGTCCCTATGTTTACATGAATACCAGGCCTGCCAGAAGCAAATCACTAAGCTCTCTAGCCAGAGCTCCCAGTAAGCCTAATTCTGGGGGCAGTAGAGAGAGAGCCATACTGTATCCCTGCATATGAAAGGAATTTTTTGTATTAAATATTGCAGCAAGCACCAACTTACAGATGTAACATTCCAAAATGTTGACTTTTATTTTTAAAAACAGGGAAAAGGCATTCATGTCACATTAGAGATCAAAATGTTCTCCATGTGGATTATGCATGTGGCAATGTGGTGTTTGGTACAAGCAGTAACGGGTAAGTGTTTAATTTTTAAACAAACTTTGCTTAGAAAATCTTCAGCAGTCTAATTTATTTCTCCTTCTGTCTGAGGCTGCGTCTACACTGCAAGGTTTTTGTGTAAAAACCTGTGGAGCATCCACACTACAAATGTGCTTTTGTGCAAGGAAATCAAGAATAAAATAGCAGAACAGAGGGCTTTTTCTGCCGTAGGTAAGCCTCCTTTTACGAGGCATAACTCCCTTTTGCGCAAGAGTTCTTGCACAAGAAGGCAAGTGTGGATGCTCCAGAGGGAAAAAAGCACAGGTGCTCTGATGGCCACTCTGTGACTGGCCATCAGAGCTTTCTTGTGCAAGAGCGTCCATGCAGTGTGGACAATCTCTTGCACAAAAGCACATTGCTTTTGAGATGTGCTTTGAGGTATGGACGTGCTCTTTTCTCAAGTAGTTTTTGTGCAAAAACTCTTGCGCAAAAGGCTTCTTATACAAGAAGCAGGTAGTGTAGACGTAGCCTGAGTGTTTTGAGAAAATGCCTTCCTTGTATTTAAATTGCAGAGCATCACACTATTGTAATTCTGATGTCTACCTTAGTAATTTTCTTATAAAAATTCATTTTCAGTTAATTGGATAATGCTGTTAAGAATAGTGGCTCTGACTCTCTATTGCCTTGTCACTTACAACTGTTCAGAGGATATATGATGCTGTTGTTCTGAATTGGGAGCTTTTTGCACCCACACTATACAACTATAAACAAACCTACAACGTGCAAAAAATGGAGGATCAGGCTTTGTGTTTATTGAATCCAGAGCCAAATAGTGCAAAAGATAAGAGCCACGCATCCATTGGCAACTTTATCTCTCTTTTGTTTATACTGCTTATAGCTAAAGTTTCACTTTTGCTTGATGTGTGAATTTAAGGCTATATACAGGAAATAACTGCTAGTAAGTTTTTTTTTTTTTAATTTGAAGTTAGAAGTTTGCTCGGGTTACATGAGAGGAAACTTTCACAGACACTCCATTTCCAAATAGGCTGACTTGACTAGATCGAGAAATAAATAGAAATGCTGTTCCATCATTTTCCACTGCCAATGTCAGTTAATTATAAAATATTTAGTTTCCTTCTCTCATAGGTGTGTGTTGATTCAAAGGGTCTTCTTAAGTAATATTAAATGTAAAGGCACCTCTATTTGAGCTGTGTGTTTTGCCTTCCTAGTCTTGCCCCAACACAGGAGCTATGAAAAGAAAAATAAGGAATGTCCCCCATGGTATTATTCAGAGGCAGTTTTACCATTCAGTAGATGCACGATATCTGTGAGTAACTGCATCTGTGGATGCAGATATGGATACACATTTTGTATCCACACAGAACTTTAATGATTGCTGGCATTTCACTATTTCTGCATAGTGTTTTTTTGTTGAGAGAGAAGATAAATAAAGTTTTATCAGGTGCTTCCTTGGCTTGTTTTATCCATTAAGAAAATAGTTAGGCTTTCTTTCATTATGTCTCTTAAACCAAGGGACGTTACTGCCATGCACAAGTCATTATCCAAAGTCCTAATTTACTACTATTAAAGGATTCACCTTTGCCTTGTGAAGTACCCTATACTCAACACCCTTCATTTTCAGTTTTTAACAGTTTATTCTTTAACAGGTTTTCCCCTCCAAAATTCCCAAATAGAAAAGCTATTGGGGGGAGCCAACTTTGATGCAAGTTTTAGATCACTCAAATACATGAAAATACTGATTATATTAAGAAAATTCAATACACTACTGTAGGCAGATGTATTTGTGTTAATAATCAATTAATCTGAATTTAAATGTGAGACTGATCCAGTAAGGTAGTGTACTGAAGGAAGTGTGCACACCATACTCTCTTCATCAGTGCTCAAGTTGATTTTTTGCACCACTTTTCACACTTTAAAAAGATTTCTAATAAATACTGATACAATTCTGGAAAACTTCAAAAAAAATTAAAACCAACAAAGGATTTTGCGTACTCTATGAAGGGATAATGTAATTATATATAATGTTTGTTTCCCCCATTGTATTGTAGAAAGTTGTGATAAAGGAGACATGATTGCTAGCACAGATTCTGTGGTCCTTCCTGGATCAAACATTACCTTCTCGTGCCGGCTAAAACAGGGTGAACGATGCAAGGAGCTAATTTTCAATAGTTCTGAAATGGTTCTTACATATGGAAGACACACATTTATTTGCAAATGTAAATCGAATGAAAAACTCATCTGTGGAGTTGACATCTATGTTGGAAGTAAGGAGAAGCTATTTTCTATTCTAATACTTTCTTCCTAGAGTATCAGCTGTGATGTGCCTCCGAGAAGCACATCACAAAGTAGTAGCAGGATAACTACTTCAGCAAGTCCATTAGGTGATGGATAGGTTATTTTAGTCAGAATGAATTATTTACACTGGCCCAGATTTATTCATCGAGGTACTCAATCACTGATCTCCTCACATGCATGTATGGGTATCCACCACTGTAATATCATATGCTTTACTTTGGGGAGGGAGTGGACACATGGATTGCCAGCCCACTGTATACACATTGATTATCATTGCTCTTGTAAAATATTACACAAGCCTTTATAAAGTGTGTGTCTCTTCAACTCTCTTCAGTGGAATGCCCCTTTTAGGGTATGTCTAGACTAATTGCTCTGTCGCCAGAACCATGTAGATTAGTTTATTAGACATACCCAAATGAAGCGGCGATTTAAATAATCACCGCTTCATTTAAATTAAAATGGCTGCCGCGTTATAGTCTGGACGCTCCACGGTCGACATCAAAGGCATTTGTTGACCTCCCTGGTATGCCTCGTGGGATGAGATTTACCAGGGAGGTCAACAAATGCCTTTGATGTCGACCACGGAGCGTCCAGACTACAGCGCTGTGCCGCCAAACAGCTGATTGGCACAGCGCATCAGGCATTTTAATTTAAATGAAGAGGTGATTATTTAAATCACCGCTTCATTTGGGTATGTAAACTAATCTACATGGCTCTGGCGACAGATCCATATAGTCTAGACATACCCTTAGTGTGACGGAGGCAGAAGAGTTGAAGGTCATGGTAGCTGGAAAAATCCCTAACAAGATTGCTCCTGTGGAGGATGCAGGGTTCCCCTGAAGGAAAATGCATATACTAGACATGAGCCTAGAACAGATCTGCTGGAGGCTAAATCTAAAGATTTGTGGGATGCGTTATGAACTCTCAGTAGTTCCCCTGTGAATCCTATTGTGAACAGGGAGCCGTAATGGGAATCCCACATAGTTTCTAGTAGCCTGTAGGAGCTAGTTCTTGTGAAGTGGGTTGGCTTGCATTTCTTTTGTCTCTTGTGAAAAAAACGCTTTTTAAGAGCAGTTGTCAGTTGCTGTAGGCAGGCTTTTAGGCCCCAAGTGTGTACAGAGTGTGCACATGGAGTCCCTGTATATCCATATGGACTTCACTTGGTCTCTGTGTAGTGGTAAGCCCATGCAAAAACAGTTTGCAGAAATTGAGGCTTTAGTTGGTTCTAAAAACTCAGTCCCCCATAAAAGAGCTAGCCAAAAGGAGAATCTGAACCCTGATCTCTTTGTTTTAAAAAAACTCGGGCAACAAAATAAAATGTAGTACTCATGTAGAAGAAGGTATCTTAATACCTCTGTTACCTGTTTTTACCTCAAATATTGACAAGAGTGTCTGTTAAGATCCTCCAGATCAGCCAAGAAATGTATCCTGCATTCAGTATGGAAGAGATGGGCATATTACTTGTACTTGGGATAAAGGAAGACCTACTCACATAGAAACTACATATGTGATACAGTAAGTAACTGATGGACAAGGTGCTTTTAAGCCTACAGATAAATAACTTGAAAACTTAAGATTTCTTTTTTTTAATTGAGCTGCCCCTGAAAAGTCAGGTTGCTTATGTTTAAGACCCTGCCATATCACAGATGGATTTTTAAAATCCTGTCTCATTATTTCCACTATTTAAATCTGAAATGTCAGTGTTGTGATTTATGAGGTTCTGTCCAGAAAGAAGAAAGCTGTTGGGGGGAGGTGGTGGTGGTGGTGGGGGGTCATATCAAGGTTATTGTAGGGGAGATTGTGGGAGCACAACTTTGAAGGCAGAGCCACCACCAGCAGCAAAATTCAGAATTAAGAGTGGCATGGCATGCTGTTAACACCCTTACTTCTGTGTTGCTACTGGCAGAGCACCTCCTTCTGAGCTGGGTGCCAGGCCAACAACCACAGCTGTCCATCTACTCAGCTGTAAAGTCGATAAAGTAGTAAGGGTGGCAATACTGGTGATCCCTCCTAAAATAACGTTTCATTCCCTGCAACTCCCTTTTGGGTCAGAAGCTACAATTGGAGAAATGCTGGCCTTCCCCGTGAAATCTGTATTCCATAGGGTAAAAGCAAGCAAAGGGCCAGATTTCATGGTCTAAGATGTGTTTTTCATGGCCAAGAATTTGATAGGACCCCATTTATGTTTAAGCCATTTGATGAGAAGCACAAAGACGACAGTCTAGGACTCAGGTTCATGAAAGTGAGTCTAGTTGCATACAGAGCTTATTTAGCTCACTATTTTCTTGTAGAGGCTACACCACAATACCACAGCATATTCTGGACTAGGCAGGTAGAAAACTGTACCTTGTTTCTAGAAATGCTTGCCCCTTGAAGCTAGATGTTTAATACTTGGACCTATATTAGACAGCGGCGTAAGCTTTCCCCTTCTTGGGAAAACATTTACAAACTGTCCAGTGTCCTAATACAGGTCCAGGGCAGGTACTTCTCGGCTCTGTTATGGCATGATCTGAAGTACTTTTAGTAAGAGGCTCATAGTTTGTATCTTTGACATGGCACTCTGCTAGGCCATGTCTGCACTAGGAGATTATTTTGAATGTATTAGTTTGACTTTAGGTCACCTGATTTTACAAATTCAAAGTTCCATGTCCTCACTACGAGGAAAAATCCAATGTAGTCTGAGGCAGGCTCCATTATTCTACCTTGGACTCAGAGCCCCAGGAAGCACTCTGGAGAGCTGCAGGAAGCCTCCTGGATGCCGATTAGTTTGAATTAATGGCACCGGAGCATCCATGCTAATATTATTTTGGACTTACAGGTTCAGGAATAGCGTTATTCCTTATGAAAAGCAGTACTACAGAGTTCTAATTGTGCGGCCACTTATTCTGGAATAATGGGCTAGGTAGTGTGGACACATCACTTAAAAATTGACTTTGGGGGGCTTATTTCAGACTAAGGTCCTAGTGTAGACTTGGCCCTAGAGAAACAGAGGGTGGCCATTGTTCAGAATGTATTACCCAAGTTTGCTGCTCAGACCCCAGGTAAGCTCCCTGCTATGATCCTATTGAGGACCCATAATATATACCTCCCTTGGAGTCTAGGTTTCCCTATATCCTGCTGTAGAAGCCCAGGGAGCTTATACTCATCCCACAAAGGCTGCCCACCTTGGTACTTAAAAGGAAGAGAACTACATCATTTAGGTCAAAATGTACAGGTGGTGAGAAACTCTTTAACAAAAACTCTCCTCCTCCTTGCCCCAAGTGGCCCTATTGAACCTGCCGTGGAGTTGGGGTATTTTATTTTTGTCCTTTGCAAAGACAGGCTCAGATGCTGCTTAAAAAGGCTTTGGACACCAATAAGGCATTTTGTCCTGCAAGGGCTCAATTGTGCTGTGCTCTCTTAGCCGGAATATCACTGGTGCTTGTATAAATAATGGAAATCTGCTATTGAGTGTCTAATTTGATAAGAGGATATGAAATTATAGACTGAGGGAAGCACATCTCTCACTGTTGTAAAGCAGTATTGTTGTGTCTAGACTACATCCCTCTTTCGACAGAGGGTTGTAAATTAGACACTTTGAAATTGCAAATGAAGTGGGGATTTAAATATCCCATGCTTCATTTGCATAATCACGTAATGGCGCTCTTTCAAAAAAGGGCCATTTCGAAAGTAAAACCACGGTCTAGACACGGTTCTTTGGAAAATGGCAGGCTTTTTCGAAAGATCCTGTACTCCTCAAAGAGGGATGTAGTCTAGACACAGCCTATGATGTAGGTTATCCCTATTGTTACAAAAAGAACCCACTCAAATCCTTGCATCTTAGAAGGAATCCAGAAATGTATAGTTTTGGGAATAATTTTGTTTAAAAAAAAATACCACATAACCTGTGCTATATTTTAGTATAATTTGTTTACTTTATAACCTTGCATTGCTTTGTGATTTTTAAAACACTTGAGCAGCTACAGATAAACACTTCATCTACATGTACACCAGGTATATCTTTTCAAGCAGAACTGCCCATAAATTGGATGGTACAACTCCATATTAATAATATTTTGTTGTTCAAAGAAAATTGTTAGGGCCAGATTCTCAACTGGTATAATCTAGTATGACTTAATTGAAATAACTGGAGCTACACCAATCTATCATCTCAGGATTTGGCCCACAGAGTGTGTGTTGAAGATTTTAATTGCAGTTTTCTGTTTTGTCCTAGGCTAACAAATGAGACAGAATGCTTAAGTTTTTTTGAAGAAAATGTGGAAAATCCTAAATATGGCTCATTGAAGCTGACCAAGCTGAACTTTTATTCTAATTATACAGCTGTGGTTGCTGCCTCAAATAGACTAGGAAATGCTTCTTCCCTACCCTTCACTTTCATGTTCATAGACATAGGTAAGTGTTACTTATCTCTGAAATGAGCAGAGCTAGGGAGTTGGTAAGAAGATTGGAATATAGTATTAGATAAACTTTAGTGTACCAATTTCATGAGGTTGTCAAATGCACCTATAGTTTTGGATGTGAACTCTTAATGTAAAGTAACAGCAATCTAAATAAATAATGGGACCTAGTATACTTTACCTGAAATAAATATCCCATCATTATTTCTTACATAGCAGAACAATTTCTAATATTGCCTGTCTAACTGGCTTTTTCTTTTTTGTCTTTTCTGTTAGTGAAACCTCATTCTCCAACAGATATATTAGTGAAATTTGACAACTTTTCTGCAACAAATTGCACTGTCTTGTGGCAGGATCAGCAACAGACACAAAGCTGTAGACTAAGATATCGACCAGCTAACAATCACGTCTGGAATATGGTAATAATTCTTTCAAGAAAATAAAGGAAGTTGTTGGTTTGGTTTTGTTTAATTATTTTTACCAGATTTTATTTCTTCAGATTTGTTTCTCTTCTTGTTGGCATCAAATTTAAGATAATGCAGTGATTTATACCAGAATAAACTTAAATATAATTAAGCATCCATTTTAAACACCCTCTTTGATCTGAACTTTTCTGTATGTGAGGCCCTAATCCTGCAAAAACACACTCATGCACATAGTTTTATACTCATGAATAGCCTCAGTGAAGTTAAATATTTGGGTCTTTTCAGAATCAAGGTCCTAGCGTCTGACACAGCTATCTGGTCAAAACACATATTAAGTAACTTGATGCACCTCAGCAAGATCCAGAAATTTCTACTCATACTTGTTGAGTTATAGGATATAAACATGAATTACCATGCTTGTTAAGATGAACCAAGACATCATCCAAATTCTATTGAAGGTAATAGAAGTCTCCTTTTATTTCACAGGAGCCAAGTCAAACCTCAAAATGAGCATATTAGGACTTCTTTTAAGTAGAAATCATATATAGTATTAAACAAACTCTTCCGTTCACATATTCAGTTATCTTCAGGTTGTTAACTTAGTGAGAGTTTTGTAGGAAAAAACTGCAAAGCAGGATACTGAAAAAGTTTTGTAGTTCAGCATGTTGAGGTAATTGACAGTTAATCAAATATTCTAGTTAGTTCGGAGTTATACTTACCAATGGAAAGCTAATTTTCAAATATTTAGAATACAATAAAATGAAGTATAAAATAGTACATAGGTAGTTACCAGTCCAGTAGTAATATTGCACTGCAAAGTGGTTGGTTTCTTGAAGCACTTATTTGTAGTCAAGTAAATTTTTCTATACAATAGGATATTTTGCGATTCAACATATAACTATGGGTGGCACATGGCACACACCCAGATCACTAACTACACTTAAACACTAAAATTATACTGAATGTAATTTAATCTATTTGATTCAGAAAGCACTTTTATGCAAAAGAAGCAGAAGACAGTGGAGTACAGAATGTGCAGCTGCATAATTTCCTGGGCACCATACTAATCCCTGTTACTAGACTGAAGAGTTGTAGTGAGAGATACCAGAAATGACAGAGATTTCTAGTTGGTAAAGTGCTGGATATCAGAGCTTTTACTGTTTTCATTACATTTTTTGTTTGAAAGGGTTATTTAAGGTTGCACTGAATAAGTTTGCCATTAGTTGAAACATTGTCTTAAATTTCTTTTCCTGCATGAGGATAGCTGTTACTATAACCCACAAATCTATATTTCTGCAAGTAACTCCAGAACATGACAGTATTGGCTAACTGGGGTTTAAGTGCTCTAAACCTACAACAGCATTATATATTTGGGTTTATAGAACAGGGGTGGGCAATAATTTTATGGGAGGGTGGCAACTCCACGAATTTGGTAAGTTAAGGTCAAGATTCACTCTTTTCTTTTATATTAATGGAGGCGATGTGGGATGTGGGATGGAAGTTGGCTACAGGAGAGCGCTGTAGGTAGGGGATTTGGTTGTAGGAGGAGAGTCTGAGAAGGAGTTGTGACTAGGGGCAGGGACACAGAAGGGGATGCAGAAGGTTTGGGCCATGACCTGGGGCAGGAAGTTGGGGTGCAGGATGAGGAGCCAGCTGCAGATTCTAGCAGGGAGGTGCTTACTGTAGATGGCTCCTGATAGAAGCCCACTGGGACCCTTGGGCAGGCTCCCTGCCAGCTGTATTCCCCATGTGCTACTCAAAGAGCAGGCTGCTTGGGGCAGTATGTGTGTGTGCATGTCTCTGTGCAGCGTGTCCCTTGCAGGGGTTGTCTCCGTGTGCGCTACATACACCTGCAAGCATGGCCCAGGCAGCTCCTATTGGCTAGTTTCCTTTTAGATTCTTAGAAGCTTTTATGTCCCCTCTCAGTCTTCTCTTTTTCAGACTAAACAAATTCCAATTCTTCCAATCTTCCCTCATAAGTTAAGTTTTCTAGTAAGGATGTAATAGTGTAGCAGATTAACCAATAAGCAAAAGGTTACAGGTTAATGCTATAGGGTATGTCTGGGCTGCACCCCTCTGCCAGCAGAGGGATGCAGCTTAGGCTGGGCAAAAGCGCTAACAAAGTGGGGATTTAAATATCCCATGCTTCATTAGCATAAAAGTGGTCACCGCTTTTTTTCTGGCACGGAGCTTTGTCAGAGAAAAGCGGCAGTCTAGAGGCTGATCTATTGCTAAAAAAGCCTTTTCCGATAGATCTGTTTTATGAGGCATAAGGGATCTATCCAAAAAGGCTTTCTTTAGCGATAGATCAGCCTCTAGACTGCTGCTTTTCCCTGACAAAGCTCCGTACCGGAAAAAAGCGTCAGCCATTTTTATGCTAATGAAGCATGGGATATTTAAATCCCCACTTCATTAGCAATTTCACCCAGCCTAATCTCTGTCATTGTCTCTCTGTCATTGTCTAAACCATTGATGAAAATATTGAACAGAACTGGATCCAGAACTGAACCCTGTGGGACCTCACTCATTATGCCCTTCCAGCATAACCATGAACCATTGATAACAATTGTCTGGCAATGGTTATTCAACCAGTTATGCACCCACCTTATAGTAGCTCCATCTAGGTTGTATTTCCCTAATTTATTAATGAGAAAATCATGGGGGACAGCATCAAAAGTCTTATTGAAGTCTAGATATACCACAACTATGCTTCTCTCTTATCCACAAGGCTTATGTGTGTGCTTAAGACCTAATGAAAAGGTCAGTTTTGATAAATGCATTCATTTGTGTCAATTTATCATGTAGAGGAGCTGTGTCCCCATTAAGTTATTCCTGACAGCACCAAAGAGAGACAGTTAAGTTACCACTGCTTTTGGTTCTGAAAATCCTAGGTAAACAGTACAGGCTTCAGACTTATTATACATTTTCCATAAATCAGAGCATTGCTTCATTCAAGATTTATTTCCTCTTATATTTAACACTAATGCTTTCCATTTAATGTCATTAAAGGTTGAAACTTTAAATGCTACCAGATACTATCTACATGAGCTGAAGCCACATACAGAGTATGAATTTCAGGTTTGCTGCAGATTTCACCCAAACAGAGGAATATGGAGCGAGTGGAGCACATTTCGAATACAGACTCCAGAAGCAGGTAAGAAAATGTGCAGTTTGCCACTAAATGGGACAGTACACCACACCCAGAAGGGTGTAGACAATGGATTAATGTGTCAATCTCAATCTCTCCATCAGTATCATCATCAGCACCTTGCCTCGATGACTTAAGGAAATCATTCTGTAGCCCTTGCACTCCAACACTCTTCCTTTCTTGTGTATTGTCACTAGCTCAGATCTTGTTCATTCCTTACGTGCCTTCCCTTCTTTCCACTCTATATAACACATGCCTTTGATATATTTGTAAGTTATTATAAAGCCTACAGTATCTTACTATGACTCATGCTATTTACTACCATTCGCAGCATCAGTTTCTGTATGAGACATTGATTGATTCAAAAAAGGTGTGAACTTTTTATTCTGCTCCCCTTCCCCTGCCAGCACTTTCCTTCTTGTAACTCTGTGTGCGCACGTTGGGTTGCTATAGTATTTCAGTTAAATGTTTCCTCTCTTCTCCCAACTGAAATCTCACCATTTAGGTTTTTTTCCTGCTAAACATGTGAAATAAGAATCTCAAACTAATCAATGAGTATGTTCTAGCCTCTTACAACTCTCACCGAGATCAGTTAGAAAGTGAAAAGTCAGAGATACAAAATGGCTATGTCTCTAAACTAAAAATTGCCTATGTGCAGAATTCAACACTCTGCTTTTAATGATACAATACATTTTAAAAAATCTACTTATCAGGTTTCCGTAGTGTCTGGCCCTGCCATGGACATTACATTTAAGCACTATTCTGGGATTTCTGTTTGTTCTGGTATAGAATGTATGTAAAATGAGCCTTGAAGAAGGAAGACTTGGGGGTTAATAAACCCAGAGAGATAAAAAAAAATATGAAAGCAACATGTGGAATTGTGATTCTTTGAAACCGCCCTCTAGCTCATCCTCTAATAGTGCTTAGGATTTAGTTTTCCCAGGGCTACTGGTTCCCATCTTTAGCTAAAATGAATAAGGCTATAGGTGATTGGAGTGACAGTTCTTAGCATTGGTTTTCTTTCTAGGATTTATCTCCTCCTTGCCTACAGTTCCTGTCAGATTTAGCCAAGATCTCCTGGCTTTTGTTTTTGGGTTGTTAGTAACAATTCTTGAGTTCTGGTGTTTCTCTTTCAACCTGCACTAGTGAAGACGGATTTGAAGAACCTGGCTGGAGTGTCTGTTGTTTTACTAGTTTTCTTCCTGATTTTGAACTACTTGAGCAAGTCATCCACCAACTTTTGACTTTTCTTCATAAATTGCTTAATTGTTGCTACCGGTACAGTTTACTAAAAACTGTACCCAAAGCTTATCCGATATATTTCTGATCTTAAAATAATTAAGATTTTTTCTTTCTTGGGCTAAACTGCAATTTTCAAATGCCATTGATCATTATGAAAGACAGGACTATGCAGCACTTTTGTTTCAGCAAGATCAGACTAACACGACTACATCTCTATTACTATTGATCATTAGGAGCACTTATTTTCAGTGTCAGTATATTCCCATTGAGTTTAGATCTAGTGCTCTTTCCACAGAAAATGAAAGTCACACAGATATTAACTAAAAGAAAAACACTATCAGAATGTTATCGATAGAGCTGATGATTTCTCTTGAGTAGCCACAGCACAGTTTGCAGACTTTGAGCCAGTAAGGATTAAAGAAAAATCGTCCGGTGCTTGAGTGCTTGTGGCCTAACCACAAGGAACTTAATGGTTTAGTACTAAAATGGTTTTGACTCTCTCCAAGTTTTATACACCTATTAGTGGCTGAGCTTGTTTGAACTCCGTTATTAAAAAAAACAACCAACCAAATGATGAGCAGGATGTACCCTTAAGAGTTTTATGATTTAGATGGATGCCCTAAGAATCTTGTTTTATTTGTACTTAAAATCATGCCACTAACATAACCTACCTATCTTAGCACTTACATTGATGTTCATTTAGAAACAAACATTCTAAAGTGCCTCTCCCTGTAGCCTCCAAGTCTTAGCACTGTACATAGATGAAAAATTCAAAAGGGTCTCCTCAAGATTTCCAGGATGCATGGTTGTGTCTCTTTAAGGCACTTTTCTATTTCACTTTCATTTTGTTTTCCCTCGTACCTTTCAACATTTTGCAGATGTGCATCCAAGTGCAATCAATAACTCTGCATATTTTTTTCTCCTCCAATCAGCTCCAACTGGATTGTTAGATGTCTGGTACATAAGGCAGGACATAGACTCCCAAAAACAGAATATCACTCTTTTTTGGAAGGTAAGAGTTTACTACGGTAATAAAGTTAAAGGCGTATAGTTAAGTTTGAGGCAGGAGATAGTTCTTGCCATATGTTTGAAGATAAAACAGTTAAATGAAGGAAAAAACACTGCTAAGAGCTCTAAGGGAGCTGTTCAAAGAGGAGAGAAAACTCAGCTACCTCTAAGTTTTCTGATCCTCTGGTCAGTGCATCAACGACTCACTAAGCGGGGGAATGTGAACTGGTAGCAGTCAGAGGCATCCGTTCGTGGCTGAAGAATTTTTGGAGTCCCCTCATTTCCTGTCACCGGATGGAGTAGAGTGGCAGCACCTGATCAGGGGAGTAGAAGTGTCCCAGCTAGGATTCCCCAGCTCTTTAAAACAAAAAAAAAAAAAAGATGCTCTCTCTCACTACATCAGCTTTCCTTCCAGAGGGAGACATTTCTCCCCCTCCCCCTCCCCATAACATTTCAGCTCTCACCCCTGCTAGGGAAAAGACATTTTGAAATCTTTCGAGGTGTTATTTAGAATATCATGTGGGGAACTTTTAAAATACAGAAAGTTCATGGGGCATTTCTAAATAAGAATGGATCAGACCAATGGTCTGTCTATCCTAGGATCCTGTATCCAGCAGTGGCTAATGCCAGGTGCTTCAGGGGGAATGAACAGAATAGGCAATCATTAATCCATCCCCTGACATCCACTCCCACCGTATGGCAATTAGAGGGGAGGATTGGAGAGTGTGGAGTTGCATTCCTCAGCATCTTGGTTAATAGCCATTGATGGACCTACCTCCCATGAGCTTATTGAGTTCTATTTGAACCACATTGTAGTTTTGGCCTTCACAAAAGAGTTCCATAGGTTGACTGTGCCGTTGAAGTAATGCTTCCTTTGATTTGTTTTAAATCTGCTGCTTATTCATTTAATTGGGTGACCTCAGTTAATGTCTCATATTCCTCAGCATCTTGGTTAATAGCCATTGATGGACCTACCTCCCATGAGCTTATTGAGTTCTATTTGAACCACATTGTAGTTTTGGCCTTCACAAAAGAGTTCCATAGGTTGACTGTGCCGTTGAAGTAATGCTTCCTTTGATTTGTTTTAAATCTGCTGCTTATTCATTTAATTGGGTGACCTCAGTTAATGTCTCATTGTATTGGGTAAATTATTAATAGCAGCTGCTACCTCTTGTCACCTCTAATAGGAGCTGGTGCACGTGCGGAAGCCAGCTCCCTCATATCTGCCCCTTCCCGCATTGCTGCCTCTGATGCAGGGGGAGAGGGCTGCATGTAATCATGTCAACATTTACACTTTCACATCCCTACCTCTAACACTGCAGGCCAGGTAATTTCCAATACTGAGGGGTAAAGTTAACCAGTCTCAGTAAGATTTCAAATGATAGGTTGTTACTGTACTTCCTTTAGTTTCTAGAACAGAGGTAGGAAGGAAGTGAGAATTTGTTATTAAAGAACAGTTATTGATATGAGTGTCATTTTCTAGCAAAGAGGACTATTACTATAAATAGCTGCCTGATTCAGAAATTTATTTTTACTTTGCCTTGAAATGGTTATTGAAAGAAATAGTGTCTGAGTTACTTAAAATAGGCAGCTTGAGAGTCTGAAGCAAGCTGTGGAAGATGTGAAAAGCACTGAACAAACAGGTAGTGCCTTGTCATTCAGATTAGTTAGACGATTAGTAGCCACAGCAGCTGTTCTGGAAGTTGTTCAGATTCCCCTAATTTGTTTTCCAATTCTTTATTCTCATAAGGAATACACACACTTAAGAGAACTGTTAGATCAGACTATACACTTCCTGGAAAGGAGAAGAGAGGGATTGGTGTATTTTTTCCAGGAAATGACAACTGTCCCAACTGCTGTCAGAGGAGATTCTGAATTAGAGCCTGATTCAAAGCTCATTGGCATGTATAGAAAGACAAGGAGGTCAGTGGGCTTGAAACCAAGCCTTTAATGGACAAACTGTAGCCCATTTCTCATGTGTTCATATTATAAAAAACTTTTGAGGCCGCAAAATAATCCATTTTCTTTTGTTGTATTAGTCAACCAGTCAGATCTAAGATTTACTGTTTATTTTATTCTAATTGGTGCTTCCAGAACCATTACAGATCCCAAGATGGTGTTCATGAGTGATTTTCCACAGTAGAGGGAACACCTTTAGAATCTCTTTTTGTAGGTTTTATATGAACAGTGATTTTTTTCCTGAATATTTCTCACTGACAGGATTTCCACGTTTCCTTGTCCCTGGATAGTGGCACCTAAGAGTCATTTTCTCAGAAGAAAAGATCCTTTTAGCATTGAAATGTAGCTGAAGTAGCATAACTTTGCAATGGGTATTCTCAAAGGGGAGGGAGTTAGGTGACTGATTCCCAGTGAACTGATTTGATTGAATGGAATTTAGGTGCCTAACTACCTTAAACTGCTTGACCTTGCTACCCATAAACATTACTTTGATTACAAGTGACTATCTGGTAGAAGATGCATCTGAGCAAAAGAAAAAAAAAATTAGATGCACACAAAGTTAGCTAGCAAATAATTGCATTGTTTTTCCTGATTTCTAAATGGAGTCATGCTTGTTAGCTTACAGAGGCATCTCTGGGAAACCAAGTGCATTAGCCTCCACAGAACCACCACACAGGATAAGAATATAAGCCATTGTTTTACCACAGCTCCCACAAATACCAGCTTTCCACCCCTCCCCTCTACAGAGAGCGAAAGGTGGATTAACATTTTATCTGTTTATTTCTCCGAAGGAAAAGTTCTACAGAATTATAACCTTTCTATAGCATTTGAAACCAACCTATAAAATCCTGTACCAAGGATATAAGACCTATAAGACTTTTCCTCAGAGGTGTAATCGCTTCTTAAATAGTTCATCTATGGGTTAAAAGTTTTTCAAAGTGGTAGCAATAATAGTTGCATAGAGAGATTGCTCTGCAGTTGCACTATTATTAAGGTGTATGTATTGTGGCTAAAATTTTAAAGTCAGAAGGAACCCCTAGATCTTCTAGCCTTGCCTCCCATCTAACATAGGCCATAGAACTTCAGCTAGCATTTCTTTGCTATATATTTTGTTTTATTTTAGTGTACTGTATTAATTGCAATGAGTTTATGAACAATGATAAAAATGAGTAAACTAGAGAATGTGCAAGACTGTAGCGTAGATACCAAATACCCTAAATTTAGAGTTGTGTCCCTTTGATCACTATAGTGTCTGCATATGAATTTTTTTTTAAATCGCCAAGATGTACCTATGGCATCTAAACAGACTCTTAAAAAACCTGCAGATGGTTCATAACAAAAGTACTGTGGAAGTCCGTTTATGATATATTTTTTTTTGTCTTTTCAAGCTTTATGCTACTTTGGGAGGATTCTGGGTCAGTATAGCTCCAGCACTCTCCATCAGTAGATGGGGCTTGCACCAACAAACTTTCATTCAACATTAGGGGTTGCTCCATCTCTTTCTGCTAGAAGGGCTCATCACAGTTTTTGATACTGAGTAGAAATGGGCAGGGATCCTGGTAAACTTTCTCCATTCTTCTCAATACCATTTCTAAGGGCATGTCTACACTTGTCATGTAAAGTGGAAAAAGTCCCTTTTTGCATAAAAACCGTGGGAACATCTACACTTGCCCGTGACTTTTTATTTTGCAGCAAAACTTCTTAGTTTCACCGCAAAAAGAAAACCACCTTCACGAGACACGTACAGCTCTTGCTGGTGGTGCTTTTGCAGTGATGTGCAAGTGAAGAGATGCTCTTGCTGTTTACAGAGCTTTTTTGCTTCTGCACGATATTCCACAGTGCCTAGGTGACATTCCAACCAGCAGCTCTGCTGCTCTGACACCAGGTAACAGATGTCTTCCCCTCCCCTTGTAAAGCCCTGGGAACTTTGAAGCTCTCCTTCCTGTTTTCTTGGCAAGTGAGCACTTACCATCTGGCCAGGTGACAATGCATGCCCCGTGGAGCAAATGATCCCCTGCTTGTAGCAATGCTGAGCTACTGGAGCTGACCAGTGTTTGGGGAAAGGGGGCTGTGCAGGGACCCAGTATGCCACATAATCACCCCCCCACACACACACCTTCCCACAAGGCCTATCGTGAAGTGCTGGAAGCAAAGTGCACATGTAAACACTTTGACACCCGTGGAAGTGAGTGAATACCCAAATCAGTGCGTGTCTTTTACTGGTGTCCTATCAGTCAAACTGACTGCACAAGAACTCTGCAAGCGTAGATGTAGCGTAACACCTTAGTGTGTCCCATGCTTTTCAGCACATTGGGTTACCCACATTCTCCATGCTTGCTTATCAGCTGCCATGTGACCAAGTCCTCCTGTTATTTTAATGTGAGTAGTTTCCATAGCACAATTTTTTTTTTTTTTAAACACAGTGAAGGGAACCTGCCCCGACAACTAACCCTCTTCCTTTCTGATATGGGCTTGGGACCAGCACTGGTGGAGTTAACATGCAGTGCTGATCTCTTAAGAGCTGCTATTTTTATTATGAAACAAAAACCATACCCATTTTATTACAAATAGCTGACCTGAATGCATGTCATTTCTAGACAGGATTTCTCATCAGAAGTTATTCCTCCATCTGCTAGCATGTATTTTTAGGCTATCATACCATCTACTGTTGCACTTAGTGGTTATAGTGAACCTTTATACTGTATGTGCATTATGCACACGTCATTGTAAAGGTACCAGACCTTCCTGTGAACAGCTAGCCATAGCTTTAGGTCAGCCAACACCATCTCTATCCAAGAGCAGATGTGAAATCTTTCCAAGTCTCTCAAAGTGCTTCATTTAATCAATCTCTGTTGAATAGTGGTGGTACAAGGTGCTCTTAACTGTTTGACAGATTCCTATTTTTGAATATTTGTAATTTTGCTGGGAAAGTAACAAGGTATATTTTTTTGTAGGTTATGAGCAAGTCAGAAGCAAGAGGAAAGATCCTGCATTACACCTTGTCTTTCCAAGCTCTAAAGCAGAAGACAAACGTGTATGATACCACACAAACGCACTACGTTCAGGTCCTTCCCAAGGTGGATTACAATATAACAGTGTGTGCTCATAACTCGAAAGGAAACTCACCTCTGACGTCTATCGTTACTGATTTGAGTATTTTAGGTAAATACCTTTGCTGCTTGAGTTATGAGAAACAGCAGCTCTTGCTTTTGAACAGAGCAGAACAGTGTTCTGAAGTAGTCAGCTTTTGTGCTACTGCAGCCTAAGCTAGGTCATTCAAAGCCCTGATCTTATAGAATCATAGAATCATGGACTGGAAGGGACCTCGAGAGGTCATCGAGTCCAGCCCCCCGCCCTCAAGGCAGGACCAAGCTCCGTCTACAGACATCTGTCAGGGATGGTATCTAACCTGTTCTTAAATATCTCCAGAGAGGGAGATTCCACCACCTCCCTTGGCAATTTATTCCAATATTTGACCACCCTGACAGTTAGGAATTTTTTCCTAATGTCCAATCTAAACCTCCCTTGCTGCACTTTAAGCCCATTACTCCTTGTCCTGTCCTCAGAAACCAAGAGGAACAAATTTTCTCCTTCCTCCTTGTGACACCCTTTTAGATATTTGAAAACCGCTATCATGTCCCCCCCTTAATCTTCTTTTTTCCAAACTAAACAAGCCCAGTTCATGAAGCCTGGCTTCATAGGTCATGTTCTCTAGACCTTTAATCATTCTTGTCGCTCTTCTCTGTACCCTTTCCAATTTCTCCACATCTTTCTTGAAATGTGGCACCCAGAACTGGACACAGTACTCCAGCTGAGGCCTAAGTAGTGCAGAGTAGAGCGGCAGAATGACTTTATGAGTATACAATATATCTTAATTGTATACAGTGCTAATGAAGCTTACTGCTTATACTATAATTTGCCACACAGTTTAGAATGAAAGAGCAATATGATTGGCACTAAGCACATTGTGTCCTAACATCATGATTAGTACTCAGCAGCAGGTCTCAGTTAGCCTAGTGTCACTCCTCTCTGCAGTGTAGGCTGGCCCACAGTTGCCTTCATGTAGCCCAATAGTAATGCTTGTTTTTGAACTATGGATAGGACAGCATCCCCTACCAGGGCCTAAGTTTGTGCAGTAGAACATTCATAAGGTACATTGCTCCATGTTTTGCTTATTCTGCTCTGCATGATTATTTCCAGGCATTCTCTCCCCAACTGAGACAGTATGGCCTAGATACTGTGACAGTATTGATGTAGGCCCTTTAAGGGCAGCCCAAGTAGAATTGATAGAGACGCAGTTGATAAGTGCCTATATTGTGAAAAAAACTGCTGTGTGGACACAACCCAATCATGTTGGCTATCCCAAGGTCAGATCTGCAGTGGCTTTACAGTGGTAAACAACTTACTAACTCACCAGTTGGCATCAGTCTGCCTCCCACAGCTTTTTGGCCCTGTGTCTGAAAGCAACATTTTATACTTCTGTGGATCATATTGGTTCTAGACCAGTGTTTCTTAAACTGTGTTCCATGGCACATCGGTGTGCTGCGAGGCAGTTGGAGGTGTGCAGCGGAGAACAACAGAATTCAAAATGGCCACCCTTAAAGAACTTTTTTTTGGCTCACAAAAAGAGGAACAACAGATGTGTAATCTATACACCTAGGCTGTGTCTACACTGGCATGAATTTCCGGAACTGCTTAAAACGGAATACTATTCCGTTTTCAGTTTTTCCGGAAAGGGAGCATCTACATTGGCAGGCTGCTTTTCTGGAAAAGCCCTTTTTCCAGAAAAGCGTCTGTGGCAAATGTAGACGCGTTTTTCTGGAAAAGAGACCCGATTGCCATTTTCGCGATCGGGGCTTTTTTCTGGAAAAGACTACTGGGCTGTCTACACTGGCCCTTTTCTGGAACAGTGTTCCGGAATAAGGACTTATGCCCGAGCGGGAGCAGAATAGTTTTTCCGGAATAGCGGTTGATTTTGTACAGTAGAGCATCGTTGCTTTTCTGGAAATTCAAGGGCCAGTGTAGACAGTTCGCAGCTTATTCCAGAAAAGCGGCTGATTTTCCGGAATAAGTGGCCAGTGTAGACACAGCCCCCCTGTGTTCCTCAAAAAAAAATTGTTTGGCGTTCCTTGGTCTTAAAAAGTTTAAGAAACACTGTTCTAGACTATGGGTGGAAAAAGACAGGCTTTATTAGAATACATGGCTTCTGCCTACCAACCCAAGAGCATCCAAGAGCCCTGGGACAGGCATTAGGTATAAAACTAGCAATGAACCTGTTGATATTCCATGATACAGGAGAGCAATAAAAAACAGCCAACCAACCCCACAGTTTTAGCTGCATAGCTGTAATCGGACTAGCACAAAGAGCTTTTCCCTCTGATGAAGGATTCTGTGTATTTTGTAGCACTAAGATGAAGAAAGACAGCAACAGTGAAAGGGCACACATTCTACTAAATCAAAATAAAACTGACTGCAAACAACAGATTCAAATAAGAGGTGTTGTTTAAGGAAGCATTACAGGGATGTTGTGTTTTTTTCCTCCTTTTTAAGATCTGCCTCCTCCTCAGAATATCTCTTTTACACCAATGGAGAACAACAGCATCTTTGTCATTTGGGAGCCTCCCATTGAATCTGCAGCCTTCATCAATGGGTATATAGTGAAATGGGCAGAAACAAATAGCCCTGGGCCCCATCTGAACTGGATAAAATTTTCAACATCCCAGTTGTCCACAGTAATATCAGGTAATTGTACAGTGTACGAGTCAATTATCCTTCTAATTAGAAAGCTCTGTTAGGAATCATCTGATTCACTGTTAATTTCTACTAGACCAAACTGAGAAGTTTTAATATTTAAAACATTTTAAAAATAAATTAGTGCCAGCCATGTAATAATCTTAGTTGTGCTAGGTTAAACTGTCAGTGACTACATGTATGTTTAACTGATAAATGGACTGTTCTGTGTCAGTTCCCTCGTGGCCCATAAGTAATAATCCCAGCCAGATGATTTAAGAATAGTACTACACAAAGTCTGAACACTGAATCAGTACAGCATACTGGGAAAGGAGTCCAGGAGAGCTGGCAGTATTTTAAACAAGCCTTATTAAAGGCACAGGTGGAAACCATCCTGATGCACAGCAAGAAAAGCAAATATGGTAGGCAACCAGATTGGCTTACCGGGGACATCCTTGGTGAGCTTAAACACAAAAAGGAAGCTTACAAGAAGTGGAAACTTGGACAGATGACTAGGGAGGAGTATAAATATATTGCTCGAGAATATAGGGGACTTACCAGGATGAGGAAAAAACCTAAGCTTTGTTAGTTGGAAAGAAGGGGAAGGCCATTCTGTAAATCTTATGTTCCTACAGTGTATAATAAAATTGGTTTAAATTGGTTTTGTATCTTACATTATTTTAGGTCTTGATCCTGCAAGATGCTTTATACTGAGTGATTCCAACACACTAACAGCAAGGCTCATGGATGCTCAGCACTGTGTGTTACTTGCCTCTGTGCAATGTATAGCAATGATACAAACAGCTCCTTTGTTTGGGATTTTTTCAGAATTAATTTATTATTTCCCATTCTGATATTTACAAATATTTAGGAAACATTTAAAATAAACCATCCAAAGTCTGCAGGTATATTTAACTATCGTCATCCAAAAATCTCAAACCTTAGTCTTACAATCTGCCCTAAGTAAGGGGGCTTATGCAGGAACAGATTAGAGAATGGATTTAGAGTCACTTTTTCCCCCTTTGTCTAAGGAGGCAAATCACTTCACTTCTTTTCGTGGAACAGTTTACCCAACCCTGTGTGTGGGGAGGGGAGGTTAAGCAGTGCCATGCAAGGAGCTAATGTGGGTCTTGGTCCAGCTATTCCTGCCCAGCTTTGACATTTTCACTCTTTATAAACATTCAATTAAGCCGTTAGAAACTCAGTGTTATGGTTATTTTATATCCATTCTATAGATAGTCAAAACTGAACCACAGAATGGTTATATAACCAGGAGCGGCCTGAGGTGGACTGCGGCAGCTAGCACCCCAGGAGGAATGCATGATCGGCGCCCCCGCCTGCATGGCCATCAATCAAGTGACATCATCATCGGGTGCCCCGGGCACCCCGTTGAAGGTGGAGCCCTAGGAGACGACTGAGTCAGCCTATAATCACGGGCCGCCCCTGTATGTAACCTAACTGAAATTACTCAGTGGCATAGCTGGGTACAGAATGAAAAAGTCCTAACTCACAATTCTCTGCTTTGACTGATAGACAACACTGATGATTACGGGTATGACCACACTACAGCGTTTTTCCAGAAAGCAGCCATTTTTCTGGAAAATCTTCACTTACGTCACAAGGCTACTGCGTTAATTCAAAAGAAAGTCAAAAGAACGGAGGGGTTTTTCTGACAGCAGTAAACCTCTTTCTATGAGGAAGAATCCTTTTTCCAAAAGAACTCTTTCAGAGTCAACAGTGTGCCCTTGTAGCCAACGCAGCTAATGGCATATTGGGGTGCATTAGAAGGAGCATTGCCAGCAGATCCAGGGAAGTGATTATTCCCCTTTATTCGGCTTTGGTGAGGCCACATCTGGAGTATTGCATCCAGTTCTGGTCCCCCCACTGGAGAAGGGATGTGGACGCATTGGAGAGGGTCCAGCGGAGGGTGACCAAAATGATTAGGGGGCTGGAGCACATGACCTGTGAGGGTCTGCAGAAGAGAAGAGTGAGGGGGGATTTGACAGCAGCCCTCAAGTTCCTGAAGGGAGGTTCCAAAGAGGATGGACAGAGGCTGTTCACAGTAGTGACAGATGGCAGAACAAGGAGCAATAGTCTCAAATTACAGCGGGGGAGGTCTAGGTTGGATATTAGGAAAAACTATTTCACTAGGAGGGTGGTGAAGCACTGGAATGGGTTACCTAGGGAGGTGGTGGAGTCTCCATGCCTAGAGGTGTTTAAGTCTCGGCTTGACAAAGCACTGGCAGGGTTGATTTAGTTGGGATTGTTCCTGCCTTGGGCAGAGGGCTGGACTCAATGACCTTCTGAGGTCTCTTCCAGCTCTGTGATTCTATACACTGAAGCACCATCTAGGCACTACTGCTATAAATAGTCTTTTCCAACATACTGCGCTGATATTGTGCCTTGTGGGCTTATTAGGGAGTAAGGACTCTGCTGTCTCTGGAGTAGAACAGAAAACAACCAGCAAGCTTATATCAGAAGGAGGAGTTACTAGTAGCATATCACAATCCCCAGAAGCCATTCTGGTGGGAATAGGCACCTATCCTGTGGTTATGAATGTGGGATAGGAGACCATCACTGGCTGCTATAGCAAAGCCATTTATTGTATATATTAGTGTTGGGAACTGAGAGACAGCTTGTTTCCTCCTGTGCTTTCCTGTTACTCAAAAATGGCTGAAGAGGTTTGCTTTAAAATTTTGACTTTTCTTTCACTGTGATGGCCCATGCTGTCCCCACTCTGTGGCTGTATGGAAGACTTCAGGACTGTCACCTTGAGATATTTCACAAACATTGAAGTTGCTTATGTAAACAGAGGGGCTGTGTCTATATTGGCGAGATTTTGCGCAAAAGCAAAAATTTTCCCCCCCTGTCTATACTGGCTGCGAGTATTTGTGCAAGAACGCTGTTGTTGTAATATACAAAATCAGTGCTTCTTGCGCAAATACTCTGACGCTCCCGCTCAGGGATAAGCCCTCTTGCGCAAGAGGCCAGTGTAGACAGGCAACGTTAATTTCTTTCGCAAGAAAGCGTGATGGCTAAAATGGCCATCGGAGCTTTCTTGCGCAAGAGAGCGTCTGCACTGGTATGGACGCTTTTACGCAAAAGCACATCTTTTGCTCAAAAGCACATGCCCATGTAGATGCTCTCTTTTGCAAATACTTTTAACGGAAAAACTTTTCCGTTAAAAGTATTTGCGCAAAATCATGCCAGTGTAGACGCAGCCAGGTAGTACAAAGGGGCTTCTTGAGCGAACAGAAAGAGATCTGTGCTCATTGTGAAGTTTGTAATAAAATTGAACCTGTTTCAACTTAAATGGTTGGGTAGCAAGGTTAGTAATATTTCCATTGACTACATATCCAACATCTCTCATTTCAGAGAGCATAAAGCAGGATGTGTGCTATGACATCCACGTATTTGCACTTTACAGCAAGAGAACTGGACGAGCGGCTGCAGCCAGAGGATACTCGAAACAGAAAGGCAAGCTCTGGCTAGTTAGCTTGAAACATTTCATTTAAAACTAGCCTAAACTTTTGTCCTTAAAAGATAAAATCTTGTGTTTTGCAGCACCCTCAGCTGGCCCCCAGATTTCTACAGCAGTAAATGGAAATGGTGTTTGGGTATCATGGGAAGAAATCCCAGGTGACCAGCAAATGGGTTGTATCATTAGCTACAAGATATATTTGCAGAAGAAAACCTCTGAGACAGGCCTTAAAGTTTATGGTAGGTATCTGGTAAAAAGGAGCAAAAGATAAACCCTGTCCTTGTATAGGATACAGAAAATATGAACCTGCTTGTTCCAGGTTAAAAAAAAAAAGTCTCATTCTGAAAGTTACACGGAGCCTAGAGTCACAAGGCTTGGCTCTAAAGCAAAGGGCCACATAGGCAGCAAATTGTATGAGCCCATGGTGCTGGGGTCCACCAATCTCAGGACCCTGGCAGCCAGGCTCCACCAATGTCAGGGCAGGTCTCTCCACTGATTCCACTTGCTGGCCCCTGAGCATTCCCACCAGCTGCCAGACCTCAGAGACTCATGCAGCAAACAGCTTTACCTCAAGTACAGCTGCTCCCCGAGTTACGAACTGTTCGTAACTCGGATCCCATAGAGTTCCATGGCGACCGCGCTGTTTGTCAGCGTGGATCGCCGTTCGTAACTCAGATCTGCATTTACGACCGCTTTGGTCGTAAGCGGAGGTGGTCGTAAGCGGAGGTGGTCGTAACTCGGGGAGCGTCTGTATTCTCCCTTGTGGGCTGCTACTGCTGTTGCAGAATCCTTCCTGCCTGAGGTTTGGGTGAGTGTGTATGATGCTGGGAGTGGATGGAGGAGAGTAAAGGGTAGGGGGAGAAAAAGGGGAAGCAGATGAGGGCCCTAGTCCCACCCATACCCCAAACCTCTTCCCCAGCCCTGAGCCCTTCCTACACTCAAAACCCCTCAACCCCACTCCAGAGTCCTCAGCCCCCTCACACAGCAGGTGTTGCGGGGGAGAGGGGGAAGAGATGGGACTTAGACCAGCCAAAATTATACAAAACCTGCCAGCTCTGAAGAGCAAACAGATTCAAGGTTTTGGCTTGCGCCCCTCTCTGCTAAAAGTATCTGGAAGAGAAGGGACTAGAGAGTCACCCTTTAAAAATGCATTGCTTATACTAGCAAGAAAAAAATAGAACAAACTAATGCAGTTAGATACCTGTGCCCACTGTTGCCCTTGAATTATCTACTTAAACAGTAAATGACACTGGCCCTTTTAGTCAGTTTGATTTACTCAGCAGTAATACAGGGTAGACACACACCAATGAAGTACGTACACACACCACTTTTTTATTGTGCAAGTCATTTATTAGCCCATGCAGTGCTTTTTTTGTAACGGCGCCTCCAGATGCAGTACCAGCACCTCCAGTCAGAGCTCAACAACTTTTCTCCTGAGTACCGGCACTTTTTTTATATGTATAAAAAAAGCACTGATCCCATGAACACTAACTCATATGTCCACTACTTCCTCCCAGCAGAAACAGACCCACATATACACTTTTCTTCAATTGTATCCAGGCACTGCAATAACAGAGTTCTTAAGACACACAAACATGCCTTTCAAAATGTCACCTTACAGACACCTGTTGGGGCTAGGGTGTCCTTCCTCGCTAACCAATGACATCCAAAGGATACAAATATTCAGTCTTCAGGCAACCTCTGATAGTCATTATACCACAAGACAACATGTCTTACTGCAACTCCAACAGGGATGAATTTTCTCTGTCCCTTCTACATTCTCAAAATTAATAGAGGGGAGGCCTTACCTCTGTTGCAACTATACATGCACAGCTGTTCTCCTTTCTCCTACTTGCTTCACTTCACCTGAGGTCCTTTAGATTTTTATATCTTCATGTTGCTCACATGGCTGCTCCCCAGTTAAGCATCCTTATCTTTACATTGCTTTGTTTTCATTATTTTTTTTTATTTTGCTGCAAACTTTGTTATCCTACTGATCTACACACTACTTCATCCAAGCCTCTCATATATAGATTCACTTTTTATGCTGTAACCAAGCAAAAGAACCTCTAAATCCCACTCCCTCCCCCGCTCTCAAGAATCTTATTGCTAGTACCTATGGGTAGGTTTGAAATTCACAGCACCTGTAGAATTAGGCCAATTAATCAATGTGTGAAGGAGGCAAATCTCAGGCTGGAGTGGGTTTTCTGCTCATTAAGTATGTATGAAGCTGGCCTACAAGGCATGTTTCTTATTCTTTCTTTAATTGAGAGTCAGGTCTGATCTATCCAGGCATTCTGGATATCCAGAGAAGAAGGAGGTTTATGGCATCAGAGGAAGCTAAGACCTTGGTGTTTCTTATACATATGTTTTAAGTTTTGTGGAACCACACACAATAACAACCAGTGGGACTGCACACAGTAGTAAAGTTAAAATGTGTTTGGATTGGAGCCTGGAGAAAGCAGTTACTTAAAATTGTTTGGGTGGGGGTTCTTTTCTAAAGTTGGAGAAAATGTTTTTGGTAAGGGCACGGCCCACTGGATCCTCCACAGTCCAGATTTCTGAATCACCCAAGAAGCCTGTCAACAGAGAGGGAAGGTTTATTGCTTCTCTGGGGGGCGGGAGGAGAAGCACAAATCCCTTCCACACTTAAAAAGCAAACAAAAGCCAGTTCCCACTAGGGATGTAATAGTGCAAAAGCTTATAGGTTAATGCTATAGACTACTCACATTTCTCCCCCTCTTTCCCCACCAGTAAATTTTTCAGCAGGCAGGCAGTCCAGCTCCGTCTTGGCTCATGCCAGGTCCAGGACCTACCTCTGCTGTGGCTCTGCATTTAAAGTTTATTATGAGCTGGGTAGGCAGCCCGGCTCAGTCCTGGCTCACACTGGGTCTGGGCCCTACCCCTGCTGTGGCTCTGCATTTAAAGTGCATTGGGAGCTAGGCGGACAGCCCAGCTCAGTTCTGGCTCATGCTGCGTCCAGGAGCTCAGACCAACCCCCAGAGCCAACAGCACAGGGTGACAGAGGCAGCCGGTCTGTGAGGGGAGCTGGTTTTTAGGGGAGCTTCTTTCACAGACCAGCTCCTGCCTGGCACTCCACACTGCTGCCTCTGACATTGCTCCCTTGGGAGTAAGGTGCACTGGCTGCTGGCCCCACCCCTGGATACTGTAAAATAGTCGAGTAACCTATACGAGTTCATGTATCAGAGGGGTAGGGGTAGCCGTGTTAGTCTGAATCTGCAAAAGCGGCGAGGAGTCCTGTGGCACCTTATAGACTAACTGAAGTGTTGGAGCATAAACTTTCATGGGCAAAGACCCACTTCATCAGATGCAGGTGATGAAGTGGGTCTTTGCCCACGAAAGCTTATGCTCTAATAAATCTGTTAATCTATAAGGTGCCACAGGATTCCTCATCGCTATAAGAGTTCATGAGGTTACCTGACTATTCAATTAACCAATATTTAACATCCCTAACTACTACCCCCACAAATTGCATTCAGGCCTTTTATTAAAAAATACTGGAAAGAAGGAAAACACACTCGTATTCACTTACAATAAGCGCAAGTTCAGTGTTTAATGTTGTACTCGGTGCTTTATAAAGTCATTGTTCTTCCTTATGTAAACACAGGTTATTTCAACACAAATTGCTAACACAGGTGAGAAGGACAGTGCTTGGGGCTCTAGGTCAGGACTTGAGATGTGTAGGTGCAGTTGCCTGCTCTGATGCAGAATCCTGGTGTGACTTTGAGGCAGTTATTTAGTCTCTCTGCCTCAACTCCCTGTCTGTCAGGGCTCCCGACAAATTTTGCCAGGCCATGGGCAAGCTTTATGTGTTTGTGGGGAGGGAGGTGTGGGGAGATGGTGGCAGGTAGTGCCAGTCCTCTAAAAGGGGCAGGGCTTCCTCCCCATCTTCGCTGCCCCTGGTTCAGTCAGAGATGTAAAGGGCCTGTGGTACCAACCACTACCACACTAGCAGCTCAGAGTCCTGGACCCTTTTAACTCACTGGGCCCTGAGGTAAGCTCATTTCTCCCTACCCCAGCTCCTGCAACTCATTGGCAGGCCTGCTATCAGGTTTTCTTTTTTTTTTAACTAATATTCCTCTCTCACTGGGTGTTGCAAGGATAAATACAGTAAAAGACTGTGAGGTGTTCATGTATTACTGTAACAGGGCAGTACAAGATAGCCATTGTATATAGAAGAAAATATGCCAACATCTGCACTGATTTACATTCACAATTGGAGGAATTGTTTTGCTGCCAAAAGGGATTTTAATGAGATTTAATAAAATAATAAAAGCTGAGATGATAGTACTAGGGAATCTGCTTAACAAGTCATGATGAGCTACCTCCTAATCCTAGGAACAAACCAGCTTGTGATCTGAGCCATGTGGAGCTACTGGCAGGGACTTTTCATATTCAGAACCACCAGTTATGTATGAGTCACTGGTAAGATTTTGTCACCGTTATTTTTAGTAAAAGGGACAGGTCACAGGCAATAAACAAAAATTCATGGACACCCACAACCTGTCCCTGACTTTTACTAAAAATACTCTGCAGGGGAGGAGCAAAAAAACAGAGTGCTGCTGCGGCTTGCAGCTGCTCTAGCCTTGCCCCTGTTCATGCTGCAAGCGTTGGCCGCTGCTGCTGCAGTCCCCAGGAGACTGACCCAACCCCAGCTGTTGCTGCAGCAGGCCAGGGAGCTGGTGGCCCTCTACTGAGCCCCTGGTCAGTTGTTTGTGGCCCTGGGAATGACTGCTCATCAGCTGTAAAGCTGCTTTGGGTGAGCTTTCAGTCAGCTGTTCTGGCAGCCCCAGGACAGACAGCTGCTCCAGCCCAGCCCCGGAGGAAGTTGTGGAGAACCTGGAAAGTCACAGAATCCGTGACTGAATCGTAGCCTTAAACATTGGGGTAAATCTGTCCCCCTCATCTTGTTACAAATGCTACAGACCCTGAGGTCACATAGAGCTACACTGACTTGAAGTAGGGCTCAGTATGGGGATTTGGGTCCACCTTCTTGCAGCTCAGCTCATTGCAAGGAGCAACCCCTAGAAAGTAAAAGTAGCTGCTAAAATAGGAACACTACTTATCTATGCGTAGGGTTCCTTTACAATTTAGAAATCACACCAGTTAAAGTAGGGCAGAAGGTGGTGCTGTTAAATTCTTTATGTAGAGGACATGGTTATTTACAAAGCTCTTTAAGCAAACATGGCAATCTCAGTCCCTACCCTGAGCAGGGTATGATCTAATTCTGACAAATAGAGTAACAAGAAAAGGCTCAGACCCAGGTTGGAAAAGCTTCATGAGAGAAGATGCATGGATATTTAAAGGGGAGAAGGTAGGGCATTTGGTAAAGGAAAAGACTATTCAGAGCACAGGGCATGAAGTAAAATAAAAAAAAAAACATGAACAGCCGAAAGTGGTGAAAACAAGAATTGAAGAATAAGGAAGGGAAGGAAGAGAGATGTTGTATTGAGGGTTCAATTCTTCAGAATTAAACAAGAAAATAAAAACACTGGATTAGTTGTTGATTTCATCTTCTTTGTTTCCTTTCAGACATCCCCATAGAGACTTCCAGAAATTCATTTTTAATCACAGATCTACAGCATGACGTGAACTATGTTTTATGGATGACAGCTTCAACCATGGCTGGAGAAAGCCCTAAGGGGAATGAGGAACTGGTTTACCTAGAAAGTAACGTATAACTTCATCTTAAGACCTTTGTGTGAGGAGCCAGCAGAAAGATACCTTAGCATATCGCCTACCCTAGCCCCTTGCACAGATTTGGAGTGTGCCTACTCTTTAATACTTAAGGAGAAAATAATTGAACATTTTCTGCCGATTATAAAATTGTGCATTTTTTTTCCTTCCAATTGCCCACCTTCCCCCAAGCCATCTGTATAAACAAGTAGTATATGCAAGCAGTAATTTGAGGCAAACGGGACTGTTCACATGAGTAAGGCAAGCAGTGTTTGACCTCACTGAAGGCAATAGGAGTTTGGCACAGATTTCAATGTGAACAGTCCCTTGGGTCTCAAATTACTACTTACATATTTAAGCTAGGTATAAAATGGGGCCTGATCACGTTCCCATTGAAACAAATGGCAAAATTCCCAGTGACTCCCAAGTAAGATAGTATTATTCCTGCATTTGGTAATTCTCAGCTATTTCTGATGTTTCCTATATTCTAAAGTTACACACACAATGGGAGAATTCCACACAATTATGCCTGTAATATCAGTTACAAGGTCAGACCCTTTTCTAAATTTTTTTACTAGAGCTAGTAGAGAATCAGAATTTACAACCCCTGGGGAATCCCCATAGTTTGAAATTTCTTTTCATTCCAAATTGGGGCAAAGTCAAAGAATAAAATTTTACAAAACAGAAAGTTCGGAAAATGTTTGGTTAGAAAATATCAAAACATTTCCTTTAGCCTTGTCCACTCACTCTCCTAGAAAGCATAGTGGTCATGTGACTTCCATCATGCACTACAGCAGTTCAGCGGAGAGGCCATGATGCATCATGGGAGAAATCCAGGTAGGGAGCCTGGCCTGTAGAGAATGGGGGTATTTAGCTCCCCAAGTAGAGTTCCCATGAGGCACTATGGCATCTGAGGCAGACACAAATGCATGGTGAATTGACCCCAAATAAACTATTTTGATTCAGGTTAACAAACTGAAGTCTTCAGATTTGGGTCGATCTAAACCAAAATATTTTGTTTCATTGACAAAAAATTTGAAACTAACAAAATCAAAATGTTCCCACAGTGAGTTTTGATTTTGCAGAAATTGAATTGTCTGTCAAAAAAACTTTGAAAAATTCCTGACCAGCTCTAATTTTGATTATTTCACAGATACAACATAGTACATCTCGGCTACGTCTACACTGGCAAGATTTTGCACAAATGCTTTTAACGCAAGAGTGTTTGCGTTAAAATATTTGCGCAAGAGAGCGTCTACACTGGCATGTGCTTTTGCGCAAGAGATGTGCTTTTGCGCAAAAGCATCCGTTCCAGTGTAGACGCTCTCTTGCACAAGAAAGCTCCGAGGGCTATTTTAGCCATCGGGCTTTCTTGCGCAAGAAATTCATGTTTCCTGTCTACACTGGCCTCTTGCACAAGAACAGTTGCGCAAGAGGGCTTTTTCCTGAGCGGGAACATCATAGTTCTTGCGCAAGAAGCACTGATTTCATACATTAGAACGTCAGTGTTCTTGCGCAAGAACTCCCCACCGGTGTAGACAGGCAGCATGCTTTTGCGCAAAATCATGCCAATGTAGAGACAGACCTACTGTCTAAAAGCTTTTCTGTCTTGATTAGGGCTCACTGCCACTGTCATCTTTCTGACTGTAGGTTTATTTGCTGCATATGTTGATCTTAAGCGCAGTGGCCCAAAAGAAAGGTTAAGGGGCTGACATATTAGAGTCAGTCAGTCATGGGTAGAGTTGCCAAATGGTGAAAGTCCCATGTTATAAAGTACTCTTTTTTTCTTAGAATTTCAGCAATGCCAAATTCCAGTTCTTAAATGTACTCAGTTCTTTTTAGTTTACGGGTAAGAAAGTATACCCCAGAACTGTCATAGCTCAACCAGTACACAGTTGTCTTAGCATATTTAAAACCTGATTATTGCTATTTCTCAACATGTTTTGCTGGATTTACAGGTTCTTCTGAATGGATTATTGTTTTAGCTGCTTGCATCTTCTTCGGTATTTCAGTCTTCATTTGCTTGGTGCAATCTGCTCAAAAAGAGTAAGTGAATTATTTTTATCATATCTGAACTCCAAAAATAAAGTAGATTTTTCTTTAGCATGTATAATATATTTTTGTAACTTGTTATAAATGTCTTTGAAATTTTACCTAAATGTATAAGATGCCAAACAAAGTATATAAATGATATTAAATAAAAATAGAGCACAGCGTGAGGTTTTGAATATTATAGATGCAAGTTCAGAAGTACACTAATCAAAAATAAGCACACACTCCCTGTATATTTATATAAAATATTTTTAAGTTTAACTCTTAGTGCCTACTCTGTCTTTCATTGAAATGACTCCTGTTAACTTCTCTGAAAACAAAATCAGGCCCTTTAGACTGAAAACTCTTAAGAGCAAGGATTTATCTTCATAAGGAACACATTCAACGGAAATGGATTTCTAAAAACCAGAACAAAATATAGTACATAGAGCAGAAGTGCTTTCTAATTATCAGCTATTACAGAACACAGTTTTGATACCACAAGGTATATTAGCTACTTTCCAGATTTAATAACATGAGGGGACTTTGACATATTTAAAAGGGTAAAAGTAGATTATGTACTAAGCTGTTGACTCAGAGACCATCACAAAATGCTAACAGCAGATACATTTGGGAGCTACATCAGAAGAGTCATTATCTGAGCCTCCAGCTTAGCAAGTTTCAGTCTACATGGTTAACAAAAATATTCAGCATTACCTTAGTAAAGATTTTTTAAGAAAAGAGCTGTGGAAGGGATGTAATCCTCATGCTTCGGAGCATTAGCTGACCTGTTAGTATCAGAGTTAGGAAGAAACTTCCTAAGGACAGACTATTCCATTATTGCTTACTGCATGATTCTCTGTTGAAACATCTGGTGTGGCTGCTGTCAGACTCAGGACACTAGGCTAGACAGACCTCTGGTCTGACGCAGTATGGCAGTTCCCACAGAGCTAATGGAGCAGCATCACAGAGGTGAGACAATACAGGTAGGAGCTACTTGCTGTGCTTTGGCCACGGTAATGGTAAATTATGATGTAGAATCAGTGTCTCAAACAGTCATTGCCCTCTTGGCCACTGGAGCGAGAGTAGCATTTGCAGCTATGAAGAATTTGGATAGGCTATAAAAACAGCAGCCCAGAATGTAGAGTTGAGTTGCCATCCTTGGAAGAACTAGCCAGAAGTTTAGATTCTAAACTTTTGGGGGCAAAAATAGTCTTTTCTTTGTATGGGCGCACACGCACACCCACCTGCAGAGCCTGGCACCGTGGGCCCTCACTCCCTGATCGGAACCTCTGCAAGCTATTGTAATAAGGTGAAAATTAAGCTGTGTCAGGTGCTCCAGTCACTGGGGCTAAGAAAAACATGCTTGAGGACCTTTTTTTTTAAACCAGAAGGGGAGCAGGGCTAGAAAGAGACTGTGTATTGGCTTGTAGAAATGTATGTCATTCAGTATTCATGTACACTGGGCATGGTTTAGATTGAGAGTCCAGCTAATGGAAAGCCTAGGCAGAGGTATCTTCCGTTGGGTTAAATGTAATCATAGATGGGTTTAGAAAGTCACTGGCAGTTGGGGTAGAACATAGGTGGAGGAGTGCTCCTGCTTGTCTTTCTTCCTGACAAGTCAAGCAGCTGTATTTCAGACTAGCTTCTTCCAGGCTAACTCAAGGAAGAGCATTCTGCCGTAGTCCTCTTTTGAAGCAGATAGATGTGAATACTTGTGGTCCATGTCGGAGAGGGGAAAGTGCACATCTTGGCGAGCTAAATAAGACTTCCTATCACTGTTGCCAACCGGAGAATCCAGGAGCAGCAATATATATATTAATTAATTATATTATATGTAATCTCAAGCCCGAGTCTGCAAACCATCTGAAGGTAGGCTGTCAGGTGCCCTCACCTGAAGGTGCAGCCATAGATGTTAGCAAAAGGAAGCATTATGAGAAACTACCAGTCAACGTCACAGCAGTTTTATCCAGATATTAAACTAAATTGCTTTAGTACAGGGTCCAATGAAGTAATTTGCAAGCTACCAAATACTGCCAGGCTAGAATTTCTACTGGTCCCAACTAAAGCAGTCTACACTCCGCTAAATTCTACAGGTGGGACATTCCTGATCTGGTACCCTCGAGACTGGTCGGAGGGATTTTTCCATACCAGGAGAGGTCACCTCCAGGCTCTCCCAGGGTCCATCAACAGACCGCACTGGGATTCCCACCCAGCTCTGCTGCCAGCTGATCTGGCTCCCTTTGTATGCTAGGGCTGTGGGGCCACTGGGGCTCAGGGCTGCTGGGACTCCTCTAAACTGGACCACAGAGGCTGAACTTGTATTTAGTTTAATCTGCATTGTTGGGCATCCCAGTTTAATGCCAGATTTAATTATGAGGAGGTACGCACTATAGTTTGAAGCCATTTTATTAGCAATTCTGATTTTAATGCTAATTTGTTTGTAAATTAAGCTTCCTCCTTGCTGTCCTTGTACCCAAGTGGTACAGAAAAGCCATTCCAGATCCAGCTAACTCTACATGGGCTAAAAAGTACTCCTCCGTAGCGGTAAGTCACCTTTTAAAATTATTTTATACTAAGCTTGTCATCTTCACCTTAAAAATGATTTTGGCCATACATGTCTAAACTGTCAGAACCAAAAAAAAAAAAAGTTGAATTTATGGTCAGTGGGATGATAGCAAACTACTTAGTGAATCTTATGGCCTATTAAGATCATCGTATATCTTCCGGATATAAGGACGGTCTAGAAACTTGCTTTTAAGAGTAGCAGTATTAAAAAGGATGTGGCGTGAAAGTCATTTGTATTTGACATGGTAGAAGATACTGCTTGAATAATGAATATTTTCCCTCATCTATTAGGATGAGCTGAACTTGCATTCCAATCAGTTCGTAAGCTACTTGAGCAGTTTTGAAGAGCCTGAAACTATAGAAGTAGAAGAAGTCTTCATAAAAAGTGAACCAGCAGCTTTCAAGGACATATCCATCTTCAATATTAAAAGCAGTGAAGATCACCACTGGCCAACAATAGGAAACAGCTTTGAGAAACCCGAGTCTGGTGAACAGAACTCTGAGTACAAACCTTTAGTTGCCAGCACACCAGAGGATGGAGACAATTGTAAGTGTCACTTGCCTTACTTGTACAAAAAAGTAATAGTGGAGGAAACAGAACAAATTTCTGAGTACCTTGCCAATCCACTGACGGACATGACTGTGAACTATTTGCCTTCAAACATACTGTCTCCCATTATGGACACGAATGAAGAAGGCAATGAATTTGAATGTAAATCCTTCTCCATTTTCCCAACAACTTCTCTTCTGATGCCAGTGTTTTCTTATGGAGGAAAACTTACCTTGGATGCAGTTAAAATTGACGGCAGTTGTTTCACAGAGTAAACTGTCAAGCTTGAAGATCTGCGCTTTTGTTTTTGAGCCAGGTTCTGTGCACTTTAGTCACATACACAAACCACAACATTATTATTTGTTTGATGTTACCAGCTCTCAATTTAAGTGTAATTCCAAACACCATTAGAAGAGTTAGAATTGTGTTTTGTGTCTGTCTTTGTGAGACAGTATGTTTGCATCTCTTTCTTGTGTGGATCTTATGAGAACTTACTCTTGAAGTAGGGGCTATGTTCCTACTAATAAGAAGTTAGAGTTCTTACAGTGGAGCATACTTGTATATTAACTGCCAAGAGCTTTATTTTAATCTAGACCAGAGATTCTCAGACTAGGGGTGGTGTTGGCACTGAATGTATTTGGCAGGCAGGAGGGGACACGAGTAGCTTTAGTAAAAAACATTACTGTGCACATTTTACCACAGAAATGAATAACTCTTGAGATTTGAGGGAGACAGGGCATCTATCTTACACTCTGTCAGCTGTTCAGTATGATACTTTTCTGCGCTGCTGCTGGTGGCAGCACTGCCTTAGAATAGGGCTGTGTCTAGATTGGCATGATTTTCCGGATATGCTTTTAATGGAAAAGTTTTCCGTTAAAAGCATTTTCGGAACAGAGCGTCTAGATTGGCACGGACGCTTTTCCCCAAAAGCAATTTTTGCGGAAAAGCATCCGTGCCAATCTAGATGCACTTTTCCGCAAAAAAGCCCCGATCACCATTTTTGCGATCGGGGCTTTTTTGCGGAAAAGTGCATCTAGATTGGCACGGACGCTTTTCCCCAAAAGCAATTTTTGCGGAAAAGCATCCGTGCCAATCTAGACGCTCTGTTCCGAAAATGCTTTTAACGGAAAACTTTTCCATTAAAAGCATATCCGGAAAATCATGCCAATCTAGACACAGCCCTGAAGTATGGGTGTCATGGGATGATTACTCTATTCTTAAATGGAATGGTTTGAATCAGTGCCTTACTGTTTTTAATATTGAATGAGAATTGCATTTTTTTAAAATCAGTATATGGGTGTGGGAGAATGTCTACAGAAAAAGCAATGGGAGGGGGGGGGAAGTGATCAAATAAATCTAAGAATCACTGCCTTGTTCTCTTGCAAAACATGGGGAGTGGCTAAATAGAACCCTTTGAAAGCAAATAACTTCAAAGGGCAGATCCAATAGCCGGTACCTCTTCTGCCCTTGAGGGCTCAGACTATTTTAGAGGAGGGAAAGCATGACCAAGGGTCCCTATATTCCTACTCTACATATCACTGGAGTAATCTGTGTACAAAATAATAACATATGAGGTGTCACTTGAAAATTAATAACTCACTGGTCAAATATGGTGAAATATGTAGCTATATTATATGTAAAGTTGTGAATTCCCTCTGACTAATATTAGCACATGTTCAAAACCGGCCAGCTCCGCCTAGGCCCTAGGCAAAAGTTGTTAAACAAGCCTGTCTTAAGTAAAGAAGAGTGAGTTTACCATGGTTTATGTATCAGATGTAAATAGGGTCCTCAAGATAGAAGGGGAAGGAAGGGGCAGGAAATAATTTGGAGGGAAAGAAAGCAGAGAGCCTCTTTTGCCACCAGACTCCATCTCACCTTCACCGATTGGATAAACTTTTCTTGGAAGAATCCACTTCAAAAGGTTCATCAGACTGTAGGAGAATGGGGCAGATATGCCCAAGCTATATGTTCCACCTAAGACAACAAAGGCACCAGTACTTTTGGTCCTCTCAGAGAGAGCTTAACCAATAAAACTTCATTCAATCCTGGAGGTGAAAAAGGCTACCTTAACACACAGCCTTCAACCACAATTTGCTAGATTAAGTTTTAGACACAGGGTTTCATTTTTTTGCTTCTGTGTCTAACTTTATTACATACTTGAATTCATTTAAAATCATATCTTTTGTGAATAAGCTTGTTTTATTTTTAATCTAAACCAATCTGGTGCTGCATGTAAACTGAACTACCTGGTGGCTTCCAGTTTAACTTTTGAGTACTGACTCTTTACAGAGCGCAACAGACTGCAGTATCTGAATAGCACAGGAGAGGGCTGGTCATTGTAGAACATGTTTTGCGGAAAATCCAGGACTGGCAGGATGGTGTGTTTGTTTGTGTGTGTGTGTGTGTGGGGGGGGGGTAGTAACTAAGGCTGGTGGAAGCCAGAGAATGACTGGAATGTTATTGGCAGGTTGCTGAAGTCAGAACTGCTGGACCAGCTGCAATCATGCTCAGATATTCATTGACCTCCAAGGTTGGGAGTGACAGTAGCAAGGCATCATGAGGCACCCACACTACAGGGTAGGAGGAGCCAATGCCTCACTGACCTGGATTGCATCCCAGAACGTGACAGAGCAAGTTGTTGGATTTGGGGGGGGGGGGGGAGGGAGAGGAGGGAGGACAGGGCAGGGGAAGATAGGGGGAGCTCTATCATCTCATCAGGATCATTCACGATCTCATCTTCCTATTTTATAGCTTCTTGCTACTTGAGTGCTGATTGGCTTTGATCTCCAATTATAACTCCCCCCATTGTCCATGGAACAGTGCTAATTAGCACAGCTATTCACTGAACAATCCTTCCTCACAAAAGGCAGTCCAGGCCCATTGCTCCCTCCCAGAGAACATTTACAATACAAGAACAGAGCCCACATTCATAACCTCTCATACAAGTACATGAGTATCATACATAGAATCACCGGAGCATAAAGCTTTCATTTGACACCTCACATGGACCCCTTTGTAGAATTTGGGGCAAACACCACCCGTGGGTGCAACAGTGACTGCTCACTTTAAAATCCAATAATGTGACAATTGCGTACAGATGTAGTCCCCTCATCTCAAAAAAGATATATTGGTATTGGAAAAGATTCAGAAAAGGGCAATGATTGGGGGGTAAGATTGAATGAAAAATTATTAGGGGTTTGGAACGAGTCCCATATTTAATATTGACCAGCACCAGAGGAGAGAGGCAGGGGAGGGGGGGGGAGGGGGGGGGGAGGGGAGATATCATAGAGGTCTATAAAATCAGGATTGGTGTGGAAAAAAGTGAATAAGGAAAAGTTATTTATTTTTCCCACAGTATAAGAACTAGGGGTCACCAAATGAAATTAATAGGCAGCAGGTTTAAAACAAACAAAAGGAAGTTTTTCTTCACACAGCTCACTGTCAACCTGTGGAACTTCTTGCCAGAGGATGTTGTGAAGGCTAGGACTTTAACAGGGTTGCAAAAAGCACTAAATAGATTCATGGAGGTTACGTCTATCAGTGAGCCCAGAATTGTACATAATACTCCTGTAGATGCTTAATCAGAGCAGAGCACAACAGAATTACTTATGTCTTGCTTAGGACACTCCGATTAATGCATCTCAAAATGAGGTTTGCTTTATTTTTGCAGTTGTCTCACTGACTCATATTAAGCTTGTGGTCCACTGTGACTCAGATCCCTTTCCACAGTACTCCGTCCTAGGCAGCCATTTCACCATTTTGTGTGGGGAGAACTGATTTGTTCCTTCCTAATTGGAGTACTTGGTATTTTTTATTTAAATTCATCCTATATACCTCAGACTATTTCTCCAGTTTGTCCAGATCATTTTGAGTAGAATTGTGTTCTTCAAAGCACTTCCAACCCTTCCCAGTTTGGTATCGTCCAAACTTTATTAATATACTCTGTCGTTATCAAATCATTGATGAAAATATTGAACAGAACTTGACAACTTATCTCTGGGGAACCTTACTTATTATGCCCTTCTAGCATGACTTAACCATTGATAACTACTCCGTGGGAATGGTTATCAAACCAGTTATGCACCCATCTTATAGAAGCTCCATCTAAGTTGTATTTCCCTAGTTTATTAAGGTCATGCAAGACTGTATCAAAAGCCTTACTAAAGTCTAGACATACCACATCTACCACTTAACACTCCCTGTCCCATCCACAAGCCTTGATACCCTGTCAAAGACAGCTATCAGGTTGCTTTGACATTTGTTCTTTACAAATTTATGCAGACTGTTACTTAACACCTTTTCTAGATATTTGCAAATGGATTATTTCTTCCATGATCTTTTCTTGGTACAGAAGATAAGCTGACTGAACTGCAATTCCCTGGGGCGTCCTTATTTTCCTTTTGTAAATGGACACAGTATTTGCCCTTTCCCGTCTTTTGGACTCTCTCCCGTGTTCCATGACTATAACGGCTCAGATACTGCCTCAATCAGCTCCTTGAGTATACTAGGATGCATTTCACCAGGCCCTGGCAACCTTTCCCTATTTTAGCTTCAGAACCTATTCCACCTTAACTGATGTAGACAGGACTGGGCTGGGCGTTGTCTTCTGCAGAGCCCCTCATTTTGAAAAATGAGACTATTAAAGCTCCCAGTGCAGGAGGAGCCCTTTATTTAGAATATAGGCAGACTAGTCACATCAACTGGACAAGAACTCACTATATGGGTGTTGCTCAGGTTCAATGGCAGCAGCACGTCACCATGAGCAAAATACTCAGGTGTCAAGAGCCTGGTGACATATTTGCAGAAGAATCCCTGTCCTGCTGCGCCATGCACAAAATGACTGGCATCTCAACTTGGCTGCTGCCACCTGAAATTTAACTTTTTCCCTGAATAGCTTCCTTGGCCAAAGGGCCAGAAGAGTGCCTGACACTAGCAGAGACCAGACTGAGACTCAGTCACCATTTTGAGCCCAAGAGGAAGAAAAAAAAAAAAAAAAACTAAAATTGAGGCTACATTTAATTTTTTTTAAGGGACATTAAAATGCCACATTCAAACTCCAGCTTTAGACCATACTCTGATATGTGGCAGAGACACAGGTCACTAATTATGCATGTGGATTTGAGAACATTTAGCTGATTTTTTCTTCTGCCCCAGTCAAGCAGAATGCAACTACAGTGGTGCTCTTGCCCATTATATTCATGTACACATCTGTAATAGCCAGAGAGAACACCCTAGTACATTTTTGCAGTAGGTTATACAGATCACTAAGCAAAAATGAGCCTGCCTTTTTGGGAGAAACATCGGCAGGAAAACAGACAAGAATAGTTGCCAGGAATGAAGCAGCAGGCAACAAGAATCTGCAAGAGCAAAATCTTTTGACTTTTTATTAAAATAGTCTAGATACAGTTTTCAAGTATTTAAATATTTTCTATACATTCTATGATTTTATTGACTTAACGTCTTGGAATTTGACAACTAAATTGTTTTGTTCACATAGTACCCAATGGAAAAGATTGATTTATTAGCTACTATACGATCGATCTGAGGGGCTAGGCTGCAATCACACATTTAACACGAGGCATTTGGTTTTTAAAATGTAAGCATTTCAAACCGATGTGAAAAAATCAGATTTTGAACTTACCTGGATTGGGTTCCTTCCTTCTTTACTTACCATATATGACAGTTTCTTTCAAGGCAGATAAAACTCCAGTAAATGTATTCAACTATTAGCTAGTAGCAATGCACCATTTCAATAATATCCCAAACTGCCTCTGTTGAAATGCTATTTTCTAACTTCTTGATGTAATGATCCTCAATGAATATAAACAC